AGTTTACTATTATTAAAAGAATTAATAATAGTTTTGTTGGGTTCATCATTTGATTTAGGAATTTTATCAGCCAAATACTGAAAAAAAGAAAAAAAGCTTTGATTACTATTTTTTCTTCAGGGTTGACATAAAAAGTTTATTTTGTTTTTCAACTGACTATTTCCTGATTTACAGAAAAAAATCTAGACGTTTCTCCTGAAGTTAAAGAATATTCTGATTCACTCTAAAAATTATTAGATACTCAAAAAAATGTTCTGTTACATTTCTTTATGAATTTCTTTAATTGTAAAATTATTCGAATTCATTTATTATTTTCTATAATTTTTAAATTAAAATTCTTCTCTAAATCAATTATTTTTAATAATTTTCGAATAAGTTCTTTGAGAATTTTCAAATTCATTTCCTTAAAATTCAATTTTACGTGAAATTTCGATTATTCGGAAATTCTTTATTTCAATATATATATATTAGAAAATAAAACCTTCAGAGAATTTAAAAAAATTCAATTAAATTTTTTCAAAGAAATTAATTCTACAAAATTGTAAGTTAAAAATATAAAAAATTCCAATTTTCAAAGATTTTAACTTGAAATATTTTCAAAATTCAATTATTTCTAAAAATTCATGCTTTAATGCTTTTAATAATTCAAATTATTGTCTAAAACTTTAACTGAAATTAATTTTTAAATCAATTTTTATTAGAAAATTCCACGAGAATTCAATTATTTAAATACAAAAAAAATTTCTTCAATATGTGAATGTTTCTTAAAATTGAATTCTCATAAAGAATTTTATTATCTAATAAAAACTGCATTTTTCGAGGAATTTAATTAAAATTGTATTAGAAATAATTGAAATTCTGCGATGAGTTTTAATATTTATGAAAATAATTGAATTCCTTAAATGAATCCTATTATTTACGAAAATAATTGAATTCCTAAAAAGAATTCTATTATTTATGAAAATAATTGAATTCCTAAAAAGAATTCTATTATTTATGAAAATAATTGAATCCCCGAGTAGAATTTTACTTATTTATGAAAATAATTGAATTCTTGCAACGAATTTAATTTTTATTTTTTAAATAATTGAATTTCTGTGAAGAATTTTAATAATTATGAAAATAATTGAATTTTGCAATGAATTTTATTACTATTGTTTAAATGATTGAAATTCTGTGAAGAATTTTTTTAATTATGAAAATAATTGAATTCTTGCAACGACTTTTATTATTATTTTTTAAAGAATTGAATTTCTGTGAAGAATTTTATTATTTCTGAAAATATTTCAATTCTTTTGAAGAATTTTATAAAAAAAACTTTAAATTTTACTCTTTTTCGAAAAAGTTTTTTCAGATTCTATTTTAAATAATTGAATCTCCGAAGGAAATTTTAATACTTATAAAAATAATTGAATTATTGCGAAGAATTTCTTTTATTGAATATTATTATATTTGTGAAAATAATTCAATTTGGTAAAGAATTTTATTAAAATTCTTGAAAATAATTGAATTTCTGGTGAAAATTTTGTTATTTATCAAGATAATTGAATTTTTCTCATAAATTTCATTATTCATGAAAATAATTGAATTTTTGCAAAGAATTTTATTAAAATTTTAAAAAATAATTGAATTCTTGGAAAGTTTATTAATTTTTTTTTTAATAATTGAATTCTTCCGAAGAATTTTATTAAAAAATTTTTTAAATGGAATTTTTTCAAAGAATTTATAATTAAGAATTTTGAAAATAATTTTAATTCTATTGTAAATAAATGAATTTTTATAAAGTAATTTTTTTAAAATTATTAAAAATAAATGATTTCTTTCGGAAAATCTTGTTATTTATGAAAATATTTTGAATGCTTGCGAAGAATTCTATTAAAATTTGTTAAATAATTGAATCCTGGTACAAATTTTATTATTTGTGATAATAATTTAATTCTTATGGATAATTTTTCTACAATTTCTTTAAATAATTTATTTTTTTTTGAAAAATTGTGTGCAAAATCTATTTTAAATAATTGAATTTCTGTGAAATTTTTATTAATCATATAAAAAGTAATTGAATTTTTGAGTAGAATTTTATCAAGATTTTTTTCTTAATTTTAATTCTTTTAGTAAATTTTATGAAAATAGTAGATACTAAAAATCATTGAATTGCAAAAAGTTTTTGATAATAATTGAAATTTTGACAAGAATTTTATTAAAATTTAAAAAAAATAATTGAATTTCTTCTACGAATTTTAATACATTTGAAAATAATTGAATTCTTGCGATGAATATTTTTATTTATGAGCATAATTGAATTTTTCTGATGAATATTGTTATTTATGAAAATAATTGAATTTTGCAAAGAAGGTTCTTAAAATTTCAGAATGTAATTGAATTTTAAAAAGGAAAATTTTGTGATTTATCAAGGTAATTGAATTCTTGTTAATCAAAAATATTAAAAATATAGATTTTCAAAGATTTTAATTTGAAACCTTTCTCAAAATTCAATTATTTCTAAACGAAATTGCTATTATTTATCAATTCTCCAAAATTCAATTATTGTTTAGTGTTTTTAACTGAAATTCGACTTTAAATTTATTATTTTTAATAATTAATTAAATATATATAGTAAAAAATTTAACTAATTTCAAAATTTGCAAAAACAGTTTACTCACCGTTGAATAAAACAATGTCGAAGCACAAAAATATCCTTCTCAATAGAGTACTCCTTTTGAACTGAATTTAATGTCAAAAATTGCAATAAGAAATAAAATAATTTTTCCACACAATGAATATTGTTCTGATAAATAATTCCCATGAATGTTTCGTATAAGGGAAACATAAAATATTTTATGAGAAAACTAACTAAAACTTTTGGAAACTAAAAACTAATTTTAATTCTTTTTGTGTTCAAAGACCGTTCATTACATATTCATGCCACACTATATGCAAGAATCGTATAATAAAACTTTTCCATTATTTCCAATGCGGATATATCAATTCTAAAATTATTCTTTCCCTAGAAATTATTTTTCACGTTCTTTATTTGCGAACACATATCAAAAACTTTCATAATCAATAAATTCTCGAATTTCTTTTCACTACCCCTTAGTTAGCAACTCAAATTTTTAGAAAAAAAATTTACATTTTGACATTTTAATTTAAAAATCTAAAGCCAAGGGAAATTATTCATCATTCATTTAAATATTAATATGTGTTGGAAATAACATATATAGAGAAATATAATTTTCTTCATTATAGTGCAATTTTTACTTTATGAACTTGTGACTGAAACCTTCAAATGTTCCACTTTTAATGGAGTTGCAAAACAAACAATATTATTAGAAATTACTCACTTTATAGAGTACTAAACAAGTATATATTACTTCTTTCTTCCTACAAAAATTCTATATGAAAAACATTATTCAACGTTTGCATTATTATCGTTTATATGATCCAATATATGATAGTGAAAAAAAAAATTCTTCTTATGAGACAAAAAATTGCTGTGAAGGGCGTTTAACTGGTTTTAATTAAATTCATGGCTAAAAATATTAAGTTCTATTTGAAATTTGTTATTGACAATTAATATTTTCATTTAAAAAATATTATTTTATAAAAAATTTTTTTATTTTAAATTTGAAACAATTCAATATCTACATCGGATTTTATAATAAAATTTCTGAAAATTATTATTTCTTTCAAGAATGAATTGTTTCGAGAAATTTTATTAAAATTATATATAAAGTAGACTTAAACTTCCTGCAGAGAATTTTTCTATTTATGAAAATAATTAAACTCTCGTAAAATGTATTTTATTAAAATTTAAAAAAAAATAAATTCTTTCAAGAGATTTTTCTAAAATTGTAGTTTCTTCTATCTAATTATAACTCTTAAAAGATTAAAAGAATTTCAGGCTACGTACTCAATTAATCATAAAAAAACGGAACAAGTACGAGTAGAACTCGTACGAAAACCGCGGTTACCGCACCCTCATTTAAAACTACTACTTTTTTACCACAAAAAAAAAGATTAACTCCAATATTTTACGCTGTGTTTTTTCTGTAATCCACAGGTGAAAATAAATAAATAACCGATTTTCATCTCTTCAGATTCAAAACAGTAGGCGCTAGGGTAAAAAACACGATTTTTTGACGAAATTTTTAAAAACTGAGTTTTTAACTAAAAAAAATATAAAAATAAAATACAATCATGTTCGGTATATTTATCCTGAAATCTACACATGAAAATACATAGAACGTGTAACAATTTCTAGTTCTTTAGATGAAAAACTGTGAACGCTAGGATGAGTACAAGGCCATTTTCCGTAACCGTTTTAATAGGCTTCCAACCGGGTACGGAACCCAGAAAAGTTATCACCGTCTGTCCACAAAAGTACCAAAAATTCAGATTTTCCTACACTGAAAAATTCAAACTTTGGTATCTTTCTAAATTTTTGTTAAAATCTGTTTTTCCGCTTTTTTTCTTAAATTTGGAAGAAAAACAAACAACTTTTCCTTTAGACACTTTTCTGTAAAACAAAAATCAAAAAAGTTATCACCGTCTGTCCACAAAAGTACCAAAAATTCAGATTTTCCTACACTGAAAAATTCAAACTTTGGTATCTTTCTAAATTTTTGTTAAAATCTGTTTTTCGGCTTTTTTCCTTAAATTTGGAAGAAAAGCAAACAACTTTCCCTTTAGTCACGTTTCTGTAAAACCAAATTCAAAAAAGTTATCACCGACTGTACCAAAAATTACGATTTTCCTACCCTGAAAAATTCAACCTTTAGTATCTTTCTAAATTTCTATTAAAATCTGTTTTTCCGCTTTTTTCCTTAAATTTGGAAGAAAAACAAACCACTTTTCTTTTGGACACTTTTCTGTAAAACAAAAATAAAAAAAAAACGTAAAAAAAAGTATTAAATAGTAGGTTTTAGTTGGAATTTAAAAATAAATAACAAGAATGAATAAATGCTAGACCATTAATTATAATTTCTTTCAATTTTCAGTCTTGGAATACGTGGGACCAAAATGGCGGACATTTGTGGCGAACATGTCTATTGCAATTTTCTTCACATTCGCAGCATGTCTATTGCCATGGATAGCATATTTTTTGGCAGATTGGAGAATGACGTCATTGGTCACGTCGATACCATTAATTTTGGCAATTGCTGCGCCATGGTTGGTGCCAGAAAGTGCCCGTTGGATCGTCAGTCAAGGGAAAGTGGATAAAGCAATTGGAATATTGAAGAATTTCGAGAAAATGAATGGCACCAAAGTACCTGATGATATTTACGAAGAATTTAGGGTAAAAAACAATTCAAATTTATTATTTAATATTAATAACATTATAGCAAATTAATATTTTGCTTTTAATATTAAATTAAGTAGCAAAACTATAAGAAAATCTATAAAATAAAGCACATTAAAATTAATTGTTTTACAAATAAGAAACGATAGATTGAACATGAACTTGATTAATTGAACAATAAGTAATACTTTTCAAAGATAAAAGGCAATACAAATGAATGTCCGAGAAATCAATTTTCTCTCTCATTTACATACAAAAGGATAATTAATCATTTGGTACAAATTGATGCGTTTACTGAAGAAAAAAAATTACATCACACTTATTGTAATCTTTTTCTACATTGCTCCACGAAGTGGTAACTTTTCACTTCGTTAATTCTTTTTTTTTTAATGGATTTTTTCGAAAATTTCCTACGTAGATCTTTTTAACAAAGATAGAAAATATTTTGTTAATATTTGAGACTAAATTTTGTAGATATCTCTTTACATGGAATATTAATCAATAAATTTATGGAAAAATAAATTTTATGTCACGATATTTTTATATATTCAGGAATCATGTGCGAGGATTCAGAAGGAAGAGGAAACGGGAAAGACTTATTCAGTTTTGGATCTTTTTAGAACTCCTCGTCTTCGTAATATTACGTTACTTCTCATTTTAATTTGGTAAATTTCATTAATTTTTACTTTTTTAGAATACAAAAAAATGGTATGTAAATTTTAAGAATTGTTTTTTAATTGTATTTATTACTTGCTTCCCGGCAGTTTATATGTAAAAATTTGAGTCTTAACTGTTCAGCTGCTTATTAAATAATAATTTAATAAGCAACTGGATTAACTAGATTAGATTAACTATTATAATTATAATCTAGTTATTAATGGATTATTAATAGTTCTAGTTTGAAATGAATGGATTCATAAAATAATACTGCAATTTCTCCAATTGATAGGATGATGATATCGTTGGTATTCGATGGACATGTGAGAAATGTGAATAATCTCGGGCTCGACGTTTTTGTCACGTTCACTATCGCAGCAGCAACGGAACTTCCGGCGGATACGCTTCTCACCCTCGTTTTAGATAGATGGGGTCGTCGGTGGTTGGCTTGTGGTTCTCTGGTCGTATCAGGCATTTTTAGCGTTTGGGCTTGCACCGTTTCCGACCGTAAGTACTTTTTTCGAAAAAAAGAAACAAAACCGAGAAGTAAAAAGAACAACAGAAAATAAAAAAAAGAAAAAGATAAATTGAAACAAAGAAATAGAAAAAAGAAAGAAAGAAATAAATAAAGTCAAAGAAGTGAAAAAGAAAGCAAAGAGTAAGGCAAAGTATTTAGTTCCTAAAAATAAAATTTTCTACGGTTGCCACAAGTCGGGGAATGTAGAATTAATCAGGGAAATCAGGGAAAAGCCAGGGATTGTTATCAAAAGTACTGTAAAAAATTAATTAAAAATTCTAAACATTAATTTTTAGAATTCTTTAGCTTCTGGGAAAAAGTTAAAATTTTGTCTGGAAATCTGGGAAAGTCAGCAAACAACAAAATGACATTTTTTGGTGACAACTCTGTTTTCGAATTGGAACTTAAAATAATTGAACTTTTATTTACAGATATTTATGCGGCAACTTTGGCCATAATGGGAAGATTCTTCGTGAACATATCGTACAACATTGGCCTACAGTATGCGGCTGAATTATTGCCAACTGTTGTCAGGGCTCAAGGTGTGGCACTGATTCACATAATGGGATATGTTGCGAGCATTGCTGCTCCATTTGTGGTTTATTTGGATTTCGTATCTCCCGTATTGCCACTGCTTGTTCTTGGAACTCTGGGAATTCTTGGTGGCATTCTTTCTCTTCTTTTGCCAGAAACCCTTGATCAGGACCTTCCGCAAACACTTCAGGACGGCGAGGACTTTGGAAGAGATCAAGGCATTTGGGACATGCCATGTCTAATGAAGTAGGAAATATTTATCATTTTTTTTCCTCTTTAAAAAAAATTCGTTCATTTTTTTTTGATATTAATATTGATATTAATATTGAAATTAATGTTGATATTAATATTGAAATTAATTTTGAAATTAATATTGATATTAATATTGATATTTTGTAGTTGATAGTATACAGGCTTCGCACTAATCTACTAAAACCTACTACTTACTACTTTTTTTTACCATTAAATACTATTTGGATTCTTTATTTGAATTCGTGACAATAACAGCTACTTTTTTCTATTTTTTTTCAAAAATTAAACTACTTTAAAATTTAAATTCGCTAATAGTTGAAGTAAAATAATTATTAATTACTTATTAATAAATATTATTCTTAGAAACAATTCAAACATTTTTTGCAAGAATTCTATTATTTTCAAAAATAATGAAATCCTTCGCTGAAATTCAAAAATTTTAAAAATCTACAATTTTAATAAAATTTCTCGCGAGAATTCAATTATTTAAAAACAAAAAATTAATAAAATACTTCGCAAAAATTCAATTAATATCATAAATAATAAAATTTCCACAGGATTTAAATTATTTAAATATTAAAACAGAACTTTCCTAATATTTTTCGAAAAAAATCAATTATTTAAATAGATTTTTATAAAATTCATCTTAAGAATTCCATTATATTTGAAAATTTTAATAATAATAATAATAATAATAATAATGGTTGCAATAATTCAATTATTTTTATAGATTTTAAAACTCATCGCAGGATTTCAATTATTTTTATTACAATTATCAATTAATTCCTCGAAAAAAGCAATTATTTAAAATGATTTTGATATAATTTGTTAATCAGTTAATTAGAATTTAATTATTATTTTCAAATTGAATTTAAAATTATATTTCTTTGAAAGAATTTAATTATTTTCAAAAATCTTCATGAAATTCTACAAAAAATTCAGTTATCTTCACGGATAATAAAATTAATCGCAGGAATTCAATTATTTTTAGAAATTTTTATAAAATTATTTGCACGAATTCAATTATTTAAAAAAAAAAAACTTCCCAAGAATTCAATTATTTTTAAAAATAATAAAATTCTTTGCAAAAATCCAATTATTTTCATAAATAATAAAATTCATAACAAGAATTCAATTATTTAAAAAATAATAATAAAATTCGTTTTAAGAATTCAATTATTTTAAAAAATTTTTATAAAATTTGTCTATAGGAATTTATTTATTTCCAATAGAATTGTAATTCATTTCCTTTAAAGAACTAAATTATTTTCAAAATTGAAAATAAAAAATTCAATTATTTAAAAAAAATTTAATAACATTCTTTGTAAGCAATCAAAATTACTCTTACAAATAATACATTTTTTAAAGGAATTCAATTATTTAAAAAATATTAATAAAATTCGTGTCAAGAATTCAATTATTTTCATAAATAAAAAAAATTTTTCATAGGCATTCAATTAATTAAAAAATAATAATAAAATTCGTTGTGAATTTAATTATTTTCATATTTATTTAATTAATTATTTTAAAAGATTTTAATAATAATCGTTGCAAGAATTCAATTATTTTTATAAACATTAAAATTTATCGTAGGATTTCAATTATTTTTAATACAATTTTAATTAAATACGCAAAAAATGCAATTATTTAAAATGATTTTGATATAATTTGTTTATTAGAATTTAATTATTATTTTCAATTTAATTTTTAATTATATTTGTTGAAAGAATTTGATTATTTTCAAAAATTTTAGTGATATTCTTCGGAAAAATGACGAATTTTCCACAGGAATTCAATTATTGAAGAAAATTTACTGAAATTCGTTGCAAGAATACAATTCAATTATTTTCATAAATAATAAAATTTTTCACAGAAATTCAATTATTTAAAAAAATTTACTGAAATTCGTTGCAAGAATTCAATTATTTTCATAAATATTAAAATTCTTTAAACACATTCAATTATTTACAAAAATTTTAATAAAATCCTTCGCAAGAATTCAATTATTTTCATAAATAAAAAAAAATTCTTCACAGAAATTCCATTATTAAAAAAAAAATTTTGAAATTCGTTGCAAGAATTCAATTTTTTTTAAATGTAATAAAATTCTTCACAAAAATTCAATTATTTACAAAAATTTTAATAAAATCCTTCGCAAGAATTCAATTATTTTTATAAATAATAAAATTCTTCACACGATTTCAATTATTTTTAATACAATTTTAAGTAAATTCATCAAAAAATTAAATTATTTACAAAAATTTTATTAAAATTTTTAGAAAAAATTAATTATTTACATAATTTTTTTAACATTATTTATAAGTATTTAATTTCAAGAAATAATCATTTTTCAATAAATTACTTACTTTTGTATTTAAATAATTGAATTCTTGTAGAACTTTCTAATAAGTATTAATTGAAAAATGAATTTTAGTTAAAATTTTAGATTATAATTTAATATTAAATGCGTTATAGTATGAATTTTTACAATTATAATTTTTACTCTTAAAGCTACTATTTGCCACTTTTTTAAAAATTAATTATTGACTGCGAAGCCTGCGAAATGAAAAATGTTTCTTATAATAATAAATTATTTTTTCTATTTTTGAAACACGTATAAAAGGTTTATAAATTTATATATAAATTATCATCGCGTGGACTAAATTGAATATATTTTTATTTTCAGAAAAGCGGAAGATGAGGAAACGCCGCCTCTGCCACCTTTGAGAAGAGTCATTGAGGGAGATTCCATTCGAGCCTCAATGAGAGCTTCACTTCGCGGTGAAACTTTGCGAAGTAGCATGATACAAAGGTCAAGTGTGAGGTCACGAAAAAGTCTCAATTCCCCAATAATCGAAGTAGCAAGATTATAACATTAAAACAACAATCAAAGAATCCATTTGGAAAGGAATTTTTTCCCTCTCTTCCAAAATTGTGTGATAACTCATAAATTTATTTACATAATCATTTTTATTTTCACAATTTTTCTAAGTTTATCAAATTGAGATCAAAAACGTATCAAAATTGTTGATTTTTGTCTCAATTTGATATAATTAGAAAAACTGTCCCACTATAACTATATAAAGACGAAATTCTTCTGCTTTTCCATATACAGTGTATATATTCCTTACAGTCTACATAAAAATCAAGAAAAGTATTTTTAACAAAAAAAAAAAAAGAAAAGATTTTTCTAATTAGTTGTAATTTTATTGTTAAACGATCTGAATTTTTTTTTGTATCCACAATAACGAGCTGTGACGTGTGCATTTGAAAGCGAAGGACACAATGTTCACTTAAGTCTTAATAATAATGGACAATTTTCAATCACGCAAGGCCAAAATTGTAATAATAGTAACGATCAGTGTACATAAAGAGTAATTTTCTAAAATTTAAAATTCCTCATCAAAGATTCATTAGGAAAAAAAAAGAATTCATGCGTGTTTATTTAAAAAGAAAAAAACATTTTTCTCAAGAAGGTAACTAAATGAAAATTAAAATTAGTTTCTACATAAACCGATTTATTATTAATGTTATCAAATCAATGCCATACAAAATTCTTCAAAGTTTAATTACCTGTTGAATTTTCATGAAAAATTAACTTCTTTTTATTAATATTAAGATAAATAATAATAATAATGATAAAAGCGACTGCATATACATATATATATGAAATTTGAACAAATTTCAAAATATTTTATTAGAGCTTTTTTGTTTCGCACACGAGAAGGAGTTTCAACTCAAAAATTTGTGATTTGTATATTATATTATAACAATTTTGTATAAACATTTTACAGAATAAAATTTATTGACAATAAATTAAGAAATTTTTTTTCTATTGTAATTAATATTTAAGATTATGTAAATTTTGGTAAATATCTACACAAGGGTTGCTACAAAAAAGTTTTTCTGATTTTCAAATATTGAATTTTAATTTTTTTCCTGACACAAAAGGAATATTCCAGATAAAATAATTTGATGCACCGGAAAATGTTTTTAAGTACATTCATTTGTTAATATCTTCATTTGCAAAATTATTCGAAACATCAATAATAAGAATTAGAATTTTTTTATCAAATTCAAGAAATTCAATATTTTTTCCAGTAATTTTGATGAACTTTTTTCCTTAATTCCTAGATTTCTATGAACTGTAGAAAATTCTACAAGAATTACATTACTTCAATAAAAAATAAATAATTTATTGAATAATTGAATATTTCTTCAAATTAAATTCTTATAAAGAATTTTACTCCGAATTTTAACAAAAAAATTTTAGAAATAATTCCATTTCCGGAAGAATTTAATTAAAATTGTATTAAATTCAAAATTCTGCGATGAATTTCATTATTTATGTAAATAATTGAATTTTTAGAAAGAATTTCATTATATATGTAAATAATTGAATTCCTAAAAAGAATTTTATTATTTATGAAAATAATTGAATCGCAGTAAGAAATTTTATTATTTATAAAAATAATTGAATCGCAGTAAAAAATGTTATTATTTATGAAAATTAATAATTGAAATATTGCAAATAAATTTATAAAAAAATTTTAGACAATTGATTTTTCGAAAAACTTTATGCCAATTTTTTTTTTAAATAATTGAATTCTTTCGGGAAATTTTATTAAAATAGTAGATATTGTAAATCATTGAATTGAGGAAAATTTTTAAAAATAATTGAAATTTTGTAAAGAATTTTATTAAAAAATAAAAAAATAATTGAATTTTAGCCAATAATTTTGTTATTTATAAAGATAATTGAAAACTTGAAGAGAATTTTTTTTAAAAAATTTTTTTAAATAATTGAATTTCTGTGAAGAATATTAATACTTTTGAAAATAATTGAATTCTTGAGATGAATATTGTTTTCTATGAAAATAATTGAATTTTACAAAGAATTATTTTAAAATTTCTGAAAATAATTGAATTTATAAATTTTTTTAAATAATTGAATTCCTGTGAAGATTTTTTTCGATTTATGAAAATAATTGAATTCTTGCAACGAATTTCAGTAAATTTTTTTAAATAATTGAATTTCTGTAAAGATTTTTTTCGATTTATAAAAATAATTGAATTCTTGCAACGAATTTCAGTAAATTTTTTTACATAATTGAATTTCTGTGAAGATTTTTTTCGATTTATGAAAATAATTGAATTCTTGCATCGAATTTCAGTAAATTTGTTTAAATAATTGAATTCCTGTGAAGATTCTTTTCGATTTATGAAAATAATTGAATTCTTGTGAAAAATATTATTATTTTTAAAAATAATTTAATTCTTGCGAAGAATTTTACTATTTATAAAAATTAAAAATAATTCAATTCTTTCGAAGAATTTTACCATTTATAAAAATATTTGAATTCCTGTGAAAATTTTTTTTTATTTTTGAAAATAATTGAATTCCTGTGAAGAATTTTATTAATTATGAAAATAATTCAATTCTTGCAACGAATTTTATTAGTATTTTCTTAAATAATTGAATTCTTCTGAAAGAAATGTATTATTTGTAAAAATAATTGAATTCTTGTGAAGAATTTTATCGAAAACTATAAATTTTACTCTTTTATGAAAAAATGTATTCAAATTAAATTTTAAATAATTGAATCCCCGAAGAAGATTTTCATACTTATAAAAATAATTGAATTATTGCGAAGAATTTCTTTTGATGAATATTGTTATGAAAAAAAAAATAATTGAATTTTGCAAAGAATTTTATTAAAATTCCTGTAAAATAAGTGAATTACAACTGGAAAGAATTTTCATATTTATCAAGATAATTGAATTCTTTTGAAGAATTCCTTTGGAACTTTTGAAACAATTTACACATATAATTTATAAAATTCAACTATAATTTCAACAGAATTGAAATTAAAATTTTTCAACAAAAAAATAGTTATACCGAATATTATTATAAACTCATAAATAGTAACTTTTAAGAATTCAATTATTTTTTTAGTATTTTTAACTAAAATTTTTCTATAAATCCATTATTTTTAATAATCGAGATGTAATAATTAAAAAATTTAACTAAGTTCAGAAGAAGTCGAATTATTAAAAATTTTTCAAAAATCTAAGTTCTTTAAAATTTCTAATTAAATTCATTAAAAATTTGAAATTTTATATAATTTCATATTAAAACCTCTTGAAGTTGATCTATATATTAAAAAATCCTTTAGTTTACTCTGATTTCCATGACTTTTCCCTGAATTCCATAATTTTCCTGCCAAAGTTTTTCCCCTAATTTTCCCCTAAAATTTCCCTAATCTACTATGGGAACCATGTTGTATTACATTTATTTACAGTATTATAATGAATATTTGAATAACAGTTTATTCATCGATTTCCTGTTTCCTTGCCTTAATTTGAAATTTGGAGTCAACCTTTTAACCTAGAGCTGCTATAAAGATATGCCTTACTTAATGATTTGGCGAGAGAGTAATAATATTTTGTGATTGTGTGTGTGTGTATGAGTGAAAGTGAGAATATTATTTCTCTCTAACACTTGATCATCATAATCCAAATGTAATTTAAATCCTCTGAGTGTTTTTTCATTTACTTTCCTTTTACATACGCAGCTTAGATGTCGAGCATAACACAAGCTATTAATTTTCAATTGATACCAAAGAAATAATTCTCTCGTCATTTTTTTTCCATTCAACAGAGTAATAATAATTGTGTGAATTAATTTAAAAGAGGAATATAACAGCATTTTGTGAAATCATCAATAAAACAAAGGTAGGAGTAAAATATTATTAATTTTTAACTTTTCAATGAAAATTATTGTTATATTATCAATTATTAATTATAAGGGGAGGAATTTAATATAATTCTAATTAGTAAAAAATTCTTGTGTTTGTACAATGAACAAGGAACGAACGCTATTGATTTAATTATGAGAACTTTTTTTTTATTTGCTATATGAAAACGTCAATATAACGAATAATAAATTTATTATTGAAATTCAGAGAAATGTTTGGAAATTTTTCAATCTAATTCCTGAAAAACGATGAAGGAAAAAATTTGATTAAATGAAATAAATTTTACAAATTTTTGCCATCGCATTCATTTTTAATTATTATTATTGTGATATGTATCTGTAATTCATAAAATGAAACACTAAATGTCATTCGAGTTTTACATTGTAAAATTAATAGTTTATTTTTAATTTAAACTTTGCAAATTATTTGCTAAAAAAATTAGATTTCACTGATTGAAGGGTAAAAAAGTCATTGATGCATGCAATGAATTTAATTGTTGCGTCAACAGTTGACTTTTGTAAACAATGATAAAAAAATTATACTAGTTTTAAATAATTTTTTTCAATCAAAAAATTACGCTTCTTGGGAATATTAATTCAAGTTTTAAAGAAACTTGAATTTATAAAAGAAAATTTATTGAAGAATTATCAAATTAAGTGTGGCTTTTATTATTAATTAATAATAATAATTGTAATATTTATAATTAAGAATAATATTCATAATAATAATAATAATAATTATAATAATTATTATTATTATTTACAATAATATTTATAATAATAAATTAATAATCTTGTATAATCTTGTGATATTGAATTGAAAATAATTAAATTTGGTAAAGAAGTTCATTAGATATTTTTAAAAAATTGAATTTTTAAAGTATTTTAATTAAAATTGGTAAATAATTGAATTTTACAAAAATCAGATTAATTGATTTTGAAAAATTGAATTTTAATTAAGAATTTTTATTTAACAATTGGTGAATAATTGAATTTTCCATAAAGAGTCAAAATCGAATTTATTTAAATACGTTTGTTTGAACTTTTCTAAGTAATTTTCGATTTTCATTGATTTTTTTTATAAACAATTGAATTTCAGAAGGTTTTAAATAAAAACTTTATGAAAATCTTTCAAACTTTTTGAAAAATTTAATTCTTGTGCCAAAATAATAATAATGAGTTTCCTAAATAATTAAATAATAATTAAATAAAAAAATCAGTGTAAAAAATAATATTATAGGATCTGAATTGAATTTAAAATAATTTATTTTCAAAAGAGTAATAATTATATTTTTTGTTAATTAGTTAATTTTAGAAAGATATACATTTAATTTTTTCAAAATTAAAGTTTCAAATAATTTTATTTGGAAATCGGCAAAATTAGATTTTTTAAGCATTTTAGTTCCACTTTTTTAAAAAGAATTTAATTTTTATAAATAAATAATTGAAAAAATTTGAAATAATTAAAATTCTCAAGAATTCGACAAAAAGTAATTGAGTTTTTTTAATAATATTTTACTAAAATTTTTTATAATTGAACTTTCCTTCAATTTTTTTTATAAAGATCAGAAAAAATTGGAAATTCTGTCTGTAAATCAGGGAAAATTTAGGACAAAACGAAACAATTAGATTTTTTAAATATTTCAGTTCTTTTTTTTAGAGAATTCAATTTTTATAAATAAATAATTGAACAATTTTAAAGTCATTTGATTTCTTTAATAATTTTACTGGAATTTTTTATAATTGAACTACTTTGAAAATTTTTATGAGAAAAAAATTAAAATTCCATCTGTAGATCGAGGAAAATTTAGGGAAAAAGAAAATCAAATTTTTGTGATAACCGTGAAATTTTATTGATGTTCTTCATTGAGAAAAAAATTTATTTTATTCAAATAATGGATAACTTGTCTATTGTCAAATATATATTTACTTGAATCAAAATAATTTTTATATTTAAATCAAATAAATTTTGTTTGAACCAATAATTTCAGTATTTGAAGCAAATATAAACAATTTTTTTGATCCAATAAAAATTATTTGACTAAAGAAAATATATTTATTTTGATAATAGACAAGTATAATCATATACTTATTTGAATCAAATAAATTTTTTTCAGTAATTTTCATTTAAATAATTTTTAAATAAATAAATAAGTAAATAAATAAATAAATAAATAAATAAATAAATAAATAAATAAATAAATAAATAAATAAATAAATAAATAAATAAATAAATAAATAAATAAATAAATAAATAAATAAATAAATAAATAAATAAATAAATAAATAAATAAATAAATAAATAAAAAATAAATTAGGTAAATGGTATTTGCTTCAAATTACTGAAATTATTGGTCCAAATACAATTTAATTGACTTAAATATAAATTACTTGATTCAAGTAAAATATTTACTTGATTCAATAAAATATTTACTTGATTCAATAAAATATTTACTTGATTCAATTAAAATATTTACTTGCTCCAAGTAAATATTTGCTTGGTAACAGACAAGTAATCGTTTATTTGAATCAAATAAATTTTCTTTCATTGTGTTAATTATAAAGAAAAAGCGAAAAGATTTTAATTATTATCCTAATAATAAATGTTTACAATACAGTGTGGTGCAAGAGGCATACATATTCGGAGCCTCAGAATATATGGCCATGAAAATGTATAGTAAGTGAAAAATAAAAAAGACCGGCAGTTGTGCTCGCACGCTCGTTCGCGAAATACAGTTTTTCTTTATATAAATTAAAAACGTCATTAAAAAAAAAAATCAGAAAGAAGAAAATTCCTCTGATCTATCTTATCAAAATTAATTTACAAATTTTCTTATCAATACAGGAATAATTTTTCAAACATGGAAAGATTTGGCAGCGTTGAATTTACTGATATTCGATTTTCAAGAAGAGAAAAGTAATCAAAAGAAAAATAATTGTTTTAATTAACATAGTCATTAATTAATATAATTTTACAAGTTGATTTGAGATTTTTGTTTTTTTTTTTTGGTGTATAGCAAGAAAAGTGCAATTTTGTTTTACTTGATTGGTTCCATGGATATGTTTGTCGTTTTTTTTATTTTTGCAAAGTGTAAATCAATGACGCAAAATTAATCCCATTCATGTTGAGGCAGTACGTGTGATTTTCTGAATACAGTGTAATTTAATTTTGATTTTTCATGGTAAACTAATATATTTCTGTTTTCATTCGGTATGCGTCGTCTATTGAAATCGATATTTGCCACACGAAGCACACAGAGAGGAGTGTGAAACGTGTGAGAATTGATTGTAGGTCATTGGCGCAATAGTCTATTTTATAACTGAGATTTTCAATTGTATACCTGTATGGGTACTATTTTTGATTTCTGCCCAATTTTTTCCTTTAGCCACTAAATTAATTGTATTATTAATAATTTTATGTTTATGTCAACATAACTGAAAAAAATTCAAAATTATTTCTAACAAGCAAAATTTTGTTGTAACTCCAATTATGTACTTTGTAGTAAAAAAATTATATCACAAAAATTTTTTTTTACTTAAAACAGCTATATTTTGCTAAATTAGCATATTTTGTATTTTTTTTTATTATTTTCCAAACTTTTAGTTAGAATTCTTTAAAAATTCGATTATATTTCAAAAATAACTTTTAAAAGTAAAAATATAAAATTTATTTCAATTAAATTTAAAAAAAATTCCAATTAACTGGAAATTTAAATAAATATTTTTAATTTTTACTTCAAATTAACTAAATTAATAATTTTCTAAATTAAATTATTCATACATGAATAATTTTTGTTCAATAAACACATAAGTCCTTAGTTATTTTTCCACAGGAATTAAAATTTTTAATAATTTTATGGTAAAGGTTTTTTAAATTTACCTTTTTATAAAAATTCATACTATAACGCATTTAATATTAAATTATAATCTAAAATTTTAAATAAAATTCATTTTTCAATTAATTCTTATTAGAAAGTTCAAAACTATGTAAATAATTCATTTTTTTCCAAAAATTTTAATAACATTTTTTAAAATAATTACATTTTTCATGGAATTTATTTAAAATTGTATTAAAAACAATTGAAATCGTGTGAAGAATAACATTGTTTATAAAAATAATTGAATTCTTGCAACGAAATTCAGTAAATATTTGTAAATAATTGAATTTCTGTGAAGAATTTTATTATTTATGAAAATAATTAAATTCTTGCAACGAATTTCAGTAAATTTTTGTAAACAATTGAATTTTGTTTAAAAAATTTTATGAAAATTGAATAGAGTAATTAAATTACTTTGAATAATTTAATTAAAACTGTATTAAAAATAATTGAATTCCTATGAACATTTTTTTTATTTATGAAAATAATTGAATTGAATTTTTGCAACGGATTTTAGTAATTTTTTTTTAAATAATTGAATTTCTGTGAAGAATTTTATTATTTATGAAAATAATTAATTTCTTGCAACAAATTTCAGTAAATTTTTGTAAATAATTGAATTTGTTTAAAAAATTTTATTATTAATGAAAATAATTGAATTCTTGCGAAAGATTTTATTAAAATTTTTGTAAATAATTGAATTTTATTTCAAGAATTTTATTACTTATGAAAATAATTGAATTATTGCGAAGGATTTATTTTATTAAAATTTTTGTAAATAATTGAATTTTGTTCAAATAAGAATTTTATAAAAATTTAAAAGAATAATTCAATTACTTTAAATAATTTAACTGAAACTGTATTATAAATAATTAAATTTCTGCAATAAATTGCAGTAAATTTCTTTACATAATTGAATTCCTGTGAAAAATTTTTTTATTTAAGAAAATAATTGAATTCTTGCAGCGAATTTCAGTAAATTTTTTTAAACAATTGAATTCCTGTGAAAAAATTTTTTTAATTATGAAAATAATTGAATACTTGCAAAGGTTTTATTAAAATTTTTGTAAATAATTGAATTTGTTGAAAGAATTTTATTATTTATGAAAATAATTGAATTCTTGGGAAGGATTTTATTAAAAATTTTTAAATAATTGAATTCCTGTAAATATTTATTATTCATGATATTAATTGAATTTTTGCAAAGTATTTTATTAATTTCCTTTTAAATAATTGAATTTTTTTGAGAAATTGTATTAGAATAGTAAATTTTGAAAATATTTGAATTTCAGTTGAATTGTTTCTGAGAAGAATATTTATTAATAATTAATTAATAATTAATTAATAATTATTTTACTTCAACAATTAGCGAATTTAAATTTTAAAGTAGTTCAAATTTTGAAAAAAATAGAAAAAAATAACTTTTAGTGTCACAAATTTAAAAAAAGTATCCAAATAGTAACTAATGGTAAAAAAAAATAGTAAATAGTAGGTTTTAGTAGATGAGTGCGAAGCCTGATATTTTTTTTTAATGAAAATTCAGGAAAATTTATACAAAATGTTTAAATAACTAAAAAGAAGTATAATTTTAGATCATCATTGTTTAAATATTATATTCGTAGTGTCAAGTATAAATAAAAAATTCTTTCCTTTGACGTATAGATAAGAGAATATTAACATTCCCCAAAAGATAACACCGCATTTAATTATATACCTATTTTTTTTAAATATGCAAAATGCAATTGTTTTTTATTGATCGTTTGAAATAATGCTCAATATTGTTTAGTCTGTCTTAACATAAACATTAAATTATTAATAATACAATTAATTAAATCACTAAAGGTAAAAATTCTTTTAATTAAAAAATTTAATACCATATTCTCAAAATTTAATATAAATATATATAGGTAAATTTTCGTAACATATAAAATCGTTATTAATCCTAATTTATTGATACATTTACAATAGGTTTAATTTTCCGAAATTTACATTATATTTGAATTGAATTAAATTTTTAAGTAAAATTCATAATTGATACAATCTGTTTTTATAAGCACTGATTGTTATGGAAAAATTCTTAATCAATGAACAAATAAATATATTAACTGAAAAACAGATGTACAGAAAGGAATGAGGGAATCTTTTAATTATACTTATTTGGCAGAGTACTAATTATAAATTCAATAATAAGACAGTAAAATATGCAAATACTGAAATTTTAATGTAAAGTTATTTTAAGTATTCATGGCCATTTAAAATGTACGAGCAAAATTTTTTTTTATTAACAGCCTTTCAAAGAAGATTTTTATGCATTGAAGGACACACTCGAAATCAACACCTAATTATCACAAAACAAAACTGCATACATTAGTTTTAATTGTCTTGCGGAAATTAGACGCTCTTTGCTGAACTCAATTATTACTTCAAAATTTAAAGTATAATTTACATTCGAAAACAATATTCTAAATGCCAAGCAAAAAAATACTTTTTAATTCAGTTCAGTGTTTTACAATCAAAAAAAGTAAAAGTAAATAAATAATAAAATAAATAAAAAAATAATAAATAAATAAAAGTAAATAAAAAAATAAATAAATAAAAAAATAGTAAATAAATAAATAAAAATAATAATAAATAGGTAATTTAAATGTTTTTGAATTAAGTAAAAGTGTACAAATAGAAGAGATGTAAGTAAAATAACATTACTCATTTTTTTTTTATAAATAGTAGTTCGGAGATGAAATTAAAATTTGTTGAGTTCTCAAAGCTATTGACCTATTAATAAAAACTTATTTTGTTTCTAATTGTTTTAATAAATTTGTCCCTGAAGTTTGAACATAGTTTTATTGGCCATCGTGACTGATATATACAAATTACCATCGATCACTTTATATTTATTTTTGTTAAACAATTTTTTTCAAAGAAATGCTAGTCCTGCAAAAATAGAATTTATATATCTTTTTTTTTTGCATAAAATATTTCAGAAAAAAAATTATTTTCTGCTATAGAATTGTTTAGTTTAATTGCTTTTTAAGTTTAAATTGCGAGCAACGTACGCGGTGCTTTGCGAGAAGTGGGGGTCACGCACTCTGATTGGCGCGTTATATCTCCCCACCAATAACCAGCCGCGCGTGTTCTCATTTATATTTTTTACTAAGTGAAACTAATAAAAAACGTTTATTAGTATTTTTTTTGTTATTTTCATTAGTATTTTTCTATTTGTTTTTATTAGTATTTTTCTGTTTGTTTTTATTAGTATTTTTCTATTTATTTTTATTAATTTTTTTTCTATTTATTTAAATAGTATTTTTCTTTTTGTTTTCATTAGTATTTTTCTATTTATTTTGATTAATTTTTTTTTCTATTTATTTAAATAGTATTTTTCTTTTTGTTTTCATTAGTATTTTTCTATTTATTTTTATTAATTTTTTTTCTATTTATTTAAATAGTATTTTTCTATTTATTCCTAATTTTTTAAATTTAATTTGAATTTTCAGTGGAGCAAAGCAGAATAGTGATAATAATACTAACGAAGAGGAAATGGATAAGGAAGCTGATGAGAACACTGCCTTGAGAATGAAACAAAAATATGAAACTTTTGATGATATGCTACCGTGTGTAGGAGATTTTGGCAGATATCAATGGCTAATTATGTTGGCCCTTATTCCATTCAGTGTATCATATGCAGTTTTATATTTCGCACAATTTTTTTTAACTCTCGTTCCTCGAGAACATTGGTGTAAAATAGATGAACTACAACATCTCTCTGTTGAAAATCGGTAAAAATTTTGAAAAATTACTATATAGTATTAAAACATTTATAACAATGAATTTTTAATTACAACCGATAGTTTAGCTCAGTTGGAAAAAAACCTCGGCTCTGCGGACGCGTCAGGCTTGGTGCTTGGTTCGCGTCCGTTAGCCTAGGATTTTTTTTCGACACGTGAGATAATCTGAGAGGGAGATTTAAATGTTGTTGGTTGTTATAATAATAATTATTATAAATAAATATTATAATAATATTTAATTTAAATATATAATTGGTTATTAATTAATTATTAATGAATAACTTAATTTTCTTACATTTGCAGAATTCTAGCCGGAATTCCACGATTAAATGAATATCCATATTATGACACGTGTCGTCGTAAGGATTTGAATTTTACATCACTTCTCAAAGTGAATAGAAATTTTCATTCGTCTCTGTGGAAGACAAATAGAACAGTTCCATGCGAACGATGGGAGTACAATTTCACGCAAATACCCTACGCAAGTATTGGAGCTGAGGTGAAGAACTTTTAAACAATAAACAAGAATATAGTGATAAATTTGTAAGCTTGCAGGAAATTTGCAGTGCAAGTTTGCTGCAAACAGGCTTTGCACTCAATAATTAATTTTAAAAAAATGGAAAATAGTAGTTTTAAAAGTGAAAAAAGTAGTAAAAAAGAAGCTATCTAAAAATTTCAATACAATTTTTGAAAATTATTACATTTTTCGAGGAATTTATTTAAAATTGTATCAAAAACAATTGAAATCGTGTGAGGAATTTTATTATTTTTAAAAATAATTCAATTCTTGCAACAAATTTTAGCAAATGTTTTTAAATAATTGAATATGTTTAAAGAATTTTATTAGTTTTGAAAATAATTGGATTCTTGCAACGAATTTCAGTAAATTTTTTTAAATAATTGAATCCTTGTGAAAATTTTTTTTTATTTATGAAAATAATTGAATTCTTGCAACGAATTTTGGTACATTTTTTTTAAATAATTGAATTTGTGTGAAGAATTTTGTTATTTAAGAAAATAATTGAATTTCTGTGAAGAATTTTATTATTTATTAAAATAATTGAATACTTGCAACGAATTTCAGTAAATTTTTTTTTGAATAATTGAATCCTTGTGAAAATTTTTTTTTATTTATGAAAATAATTGAATTCTTGCAACGAATTTTGGTACATTTTTTTTAAATAATTGAATTTGTGTGAAGAATTTTGTTATTTAAGAAAATAATTGAATTTCTGTGAAGAATTTTATTATTTATTAAAATAATTGAATACTTGCTACGAATTTCAGTAAATTTTTTTTTGAATAATTGAATTCTTGCAATAAATTTCAGTAAATGTTTTTAAATAATTGAATTTGTAAGAAGAATTTTATTATTTAAGAAAATAATTGAATTTCTGTGAAGAATTTTATTATTTATTAAAATAATTGAATACTTGCAACGAATTTCAGTAAATTTTTTTTTGAATAATTGAATTCTTGCAATAAATTTCAGTAAATGTTTTTAAATAATTGAATTTGTAAGAAGAATTTTATTATTTAAGAAAATAATTGAATTTCTGTGAAGAATTTGATTATTTATTAAAATAATTGAATACTTGCAACGAATTTCAGTAAATTTTTTTTTGAATAATTGAATTCTTGCAATAAATTTCAGTAAATGTTTTTAAATAATTGAATTTGTAAGAAGAATTTTATTATTTAAGAAAATAATTGAATTTCTGTGAAGAATTTTATTATTTATTAAAATAATTGAATTCATGCAACGAATTTCAGTAAATTTTTTTTTGAATAATTGAATTCCTGTGAAGATTTTTTTTTAATTATGAAAATAATTGAATTCCTGCAATAAATTTCAATAAATGTTTTTAAATAATTGAATTTGTGGGAAGAATTTTATTATTTAAGAAAATCATTGAATTTCTGTGAAGAATTTTATTATTTATTAAAATAATTGAATTCTTGCAACGAATTTCAGTAAATCTTTTTAAGTAATTAAATTTGTTTAAAGAATTTTATTATTTAAGAAAATAATTGAATTCTTCTTAAGAATATTGTTATTTATGAAAATAATTATATGTTGATAAAATTTTTAAGACTAATTGCATTTTCGAGGAATTCGTTTAAAATTGTATTAAAAATAATTGAAATGGTGTGAAGAATTTTATTAATTATGAATATAATTCAATTCTTGCATCGAATTTTATTAATAATTGAAATAATTGTAATAATAATTGAATTCTTTTGAATATTTTTTTATTAAAAATTTTGAAAATAATTACATTCTTTTAAGGAAAATAAATTAAATTATATTAAAAATAATTGAATTTTTGCGAAGTATTTTATAAGTTTTTTTTTCTTAAATAATTGTATTTTTTTCAGAAATTTGATTAAAATTGTAGATTTTGAAAATATTGTAATTTTAGAGAAGGATTTAATATTATTTGTGAATATTATTGAATTCTTGCAAAAAATGGTTGAATTGTTTATAAGAAGAATATTTATTAATAATTAATTAAATAATTAGTTTACTTCATCTATTATCAAATTTAAATTTTAAAGTAGTTCAAGTTTTGAAAAAAAAAGAAAAAAGTAGCTTTTAGTGTCACAAATTTAAAAGAAGTATCCAAATAGTAACTAATGGTAAAAAAAAGTATAGTAAATAGTAGTTTTTGGTAGATGAGTGCCAGAAGTTGATATTTACATTAAATATTACAGAATAAATCTGGCTATTCCAAAATCGAATTTCAGTAAATTTTTTTTTGAATAATTGAATTCCTGTGAAGATTTTTTTTTAATTATGAAAATAATTGAATTCCTGCAATAAATTTCAATAAATGTTTTAAATAATTGAATTTGTGGGAAGAATTTTATTATTTAAGAAAATCATTGAATTTCTGTGAAGAATTTTATTATTTATGAAAATAATTGAATTTCTGCGACGAATTTCAGTAATTTTTTTTAAATAATTGCATTTCTGTGAAGAATTTTATTATTTATGAAAAATTTTTTTTTCAAATTATATTCCATATAATTGAATTCTTGTGAGAATTTTATTATTTAACATATATTAATTAAATTTTTCTGAAGGACATCTATTCACTGAAAGTATTTTATTAACGATTTTTTTAAATATTTTAATTCTTTGTCAAATTTTATTAGAATTTGTAGATTTTGAAAATATTTGAATTTTAGCGAAGAATTTCATTATTTGTGAAAATAATTGAATTCTTGCAAAAAATTTTGAATTGTTTCTGAGAAGAATATTTATTAATAATTAATTAATAATTATTTTACTTCAACTATTAGCGAATTTAAATTTTAAAGTATTTCAAATTTTGAAAAAAAAAATAGAAAAAAGCATCTTTTAGTGTCACAAATTTAAAAAAAGTATCCAAACAGTAGCTAATGGTAAAAAAAAGTAGTAAATAGTAGATTTTAGTAGATGAGTGCGAAGCCTGGCAAGAAGCAGAATGTCCTCATAAACTGCATGGTACATAAGCAAGCAACCTTGTATGGCGTAGAATTATGAGGACATTTTGCTATCTGCAGAAAACTTTATAACAGCATGCTTAAAGATTGCTGCAAGTTTAGGTACTATTTTGAAAAAGAAAGAAACTAAAAGAATATGATAATTTTCAAAAAAAGTTAGATTGGGTATGCGACCGTTCATATTTAATTTCCACGGCTCAAGCGATATTCTTTTGTGGCTCAATAATTGGAGGATTTCTTTTTGGATGGGTTGCCGATCACAAAGGGAGAATTCCAGCTGTAGTTTATTGCAACATAGCAGCGTTAATTGCGACCATTGCATCTGCAAATACTGGCTCTTTCTGGTCGTTTGCTCTCTGCAGATTCTTTTCTGGATTTGCCTTTGACAATGTGATCAATATCCCTCTCATCATTGGTAAACATTTTAAACAAAAAGTAAAATTAATTTATCGCACAGTAAAAAAAGAAGGTCTTCTATAATTCTTTATCTTTCTCCCTCTGTATTAAAGCAGAAAGCTTCTACTAAAATAATAAATATACTAATATAATCTTAAGATAATATACTAAAATAATCTTAAGATAAAAAAATATACTAAGCTAATCTTAAGATAATAAATGTGTCCTGACACGGTGAAAGAGACCTTACGCCCAAAAAAATTAATTTTGAGTTATTAATTAATCTAGATTGAAAGAATCTATATAGAATGGTATTAATATCTCAAAATTAATTTTTTTGGACGTGAGGTCCCTTTCACCGCGTCAGAACACATATACTAAGACAATCTTAAGATAATAAATATTCTTGTTTTAGTTATGGAATATATGGCTGTGAAGAGACGCACAATAGTGGTTAATGCTGCATTTGGAGTATATTTTGCAATTGCCAGTACAGCATTGCCCTGGCTGGCTTATTATGTTGCAAATTGGCGATATTTTGCATACGTTATTTCGGTGCCATTTTTTCTATCTCTAGTAACTCCTTGGATTTTACCGGAAAGTGCAAGGTATAACATTCACCTTTTTCGTGACGGTAGACTATTAAAATCCACTATTATTACATATTCAAGATTTCTTAAAAATCGATTCGCTTTTAATAGATGGTTCATTTCGAATGGAAAAATAGATCAAGTTCTGATGAAACTCAGAAAAATTGCCAAAGTGAATGGTATGAATCCAAATCCACGAATTTACGAGATTTTTTCAGTAAGAATTAACAATATTTAAAAGCAAAGAAAGAAGGAAACATTTTGCTATATACGATTTATTTTCTTTTCAGTTGAACGTAAAGGCTGCGAATAAGGAAAAGGAATCAGCAACTCTCTTGAATCTTTTTAAAACACCACGTCTGGCTAGAAATGTTATACTACTTGTAGCTCTCTGGTAATTCTATCACAATTTGAATTTTCACTATAATTATTACACTGTAAAAAAAAGGTTCTAAATTAGAGATGATTTTGGTATTAAAATAGAACCAAACTACGATTTAGTAGCAAAATTGGTACTGAATTTGTACCTTTCTTTTTACAGTGAATGCCATGTTATCAATAGGCTCTTTTTATGTCCATATGTTGAACATAATAAAAAGGATTTCTTTATGCTCAACATATAGTCATAAAAAAGGGCCTATTATGGACATAAAGAAATATTTTAATGAAAAAAGCATTTTTTCTTAAAAGAAGAATGTAATTAATTAAGAAAACTTTAATTAAAATGAATGTAATTTAGCAGGACTATATTAATGTTGTATTTCAGTAAAACAAAACCATTTTATTTAGGACTTTGACGGTGATTGCGTTTGATGGGCATGTGTACTCGTTGAAACTATTGAAAACATCGGTATTTGTTTCCTTCTCTTTGGCATGTGCGACAGAACTTCCTGCCGGGTTGCTGTTGATATTGTTGCTAGATCGCTGGGGGCGTAGATTTTGTTTATTCATCACAATGACACTGACTATGATTTTTAGCTATGCTGAACTGATTTTAGTTCACGGTAAGAAGAACTCATTTTCAAATTTCAAACCTTGGGATTCACTCTAAAAAAAAGGTTCTAAATTAAAACAAATTACGATGTAGTGCCAAAATTAGTACTAAATTCGTACCTTTCTTTTTACAGTGTTATTTAGAAAAAATAAAGTTTTGTATATTTTTCAGAATAATAGACTTTGCACTCGATAATTAATTTTAGAAAAAGTAGCAAAAAGTATCATTAAGACTGAAAAAAGTAGTAAAAAATACAAGCTAACGAAAATTAAAATCTTAAAGTTTAAAAAGTTTAAAAAAAAACTCGTTTCAGTCGTGTAAAAAAAATTTGATTCAGTATTTCCCTGACTTTTTCCTGATTTCCATAAAAAAAAAATATATTTACTTTCTTTTCTTGTCCTGACAATAACTTCAATTCTCAATTTTTCTAAAATTCAATTATTTTCCAAATTTTTAGTTAAAATTCTCCAAAAATACGATTATGTTTAAAAATAATTTTTAAAAGGGAAAAAAATAAAATTATTTACAATACAAAATTTATTTATATTAAATCTGAAAAAATCTTTAATTATTTGCAAATTTAATTTAACATTTTTAAATTATTTACGGCAATTTAACTAAATTTAAAAAATTTTAATTACTTTCAAAAGACTAATTTTTTTACATTTCTAAATTAAATTCATCAAAAATTGAATAGTTATTTGTTAAATATATATATATATATATATATATTTAAATAATTATTATTCCACAGGAATTAATAGTTTAAATAATTTCAAAATAAAGCCTTTTAGAAATTCAATTCTCTCTAAGACAAATCTAATTCAATCTAAAATTTTGACTAAAATTCAATATTAAATCAATTCCTATTAAAAAGTTCTACGAGAATTCAATAATATTTAAATACAAATAATAAATGATTTATTGAATATTTGATTATTCTATAAATTAGAATTTTTATAAAGTATTTTATGAATAAAATATGAATGAAATTTTATGAATTTATGAAAAAAAAATAATTAAATTCTTCCAAGGAATTCTAAGAAAATTTTTTTAAAATAATTCCATTCTCGAGGAATTCAATTAAAATTGTATTAAAAATAATTGACATCATATGAAAAATTTTATTAATTATGAAAATAATTGAATTCTTGCAACGATTTTTAATAATAATTTTTAAATAATTGAATTCCTGTGAAGAATATCGTAATTTTTGAAATTACATGAATTCTTGCAAAGAATTTTATTAAATTTTTTTTAAATAATTGAATTTTTTGAAGAATTTAATATTAGGAATTTTAAAAATAAATAAATTCTTTTAAGGAAAATAATTACAATAATTGTAGGTATTGTAAATAAAATGGATCCTTATAAATAAATTTCATAAAAAATTATTTAAATAATTCAATTCTTTCAAACAAATTTTATGAAAATTGAATTTTAAATAATTGAAGATCTCAGTCTAAAAATATTTTATTATTTATGAAAATAATTGGAGTTTTTTCAAAAAGATTTTAATAACATTTTTTAAATAATTGGATTCCTATGAAGAATTCTATTATTTATGAAAATAATTCAATTCTTGCGTCGAATTTTATTAATATTTAATTAATATTTATTAATATTTAAGAATTTTTTGAAAATAATTAAATTCTTTTAAGGAAAATAAATTCTCAATAAATAAATTTTAAATAATTGAATTCCTATGAAAAATTATTTTTATTTATGAAAATAATTGAATTTTTTAAACAAATTTTAGTAAATTTGTTTAAACAAAATTCTATTGTAAAATTTTATTAAAATTGTAGATTTTGGAAATATTTGAATTTCAGCGAAGGATTTCAATATGCGGGAAAATAATTGAATTCTTGACAAAAAAAAAAATGTTATTAACATTTTTGAAAATATTTGAATTGTTTCAAAGAATGTTATTAAAAAAATTTTTGAAGTGTTTCTAAGAATTTAATTAAAATTTTTGAAAATAATTTCTTTATTTCAATTATTGGTCGACTTAAAGTAATATAAATTCTTAAAAAAAGGAAAAATGTAGCTTTTAGTGTCATAAATTTAAAAAAAGTATCCAATCGTAAAATCGTAAAAAAAGTAGTAAATAGTAGTTTTAGTAGATGAGTGCGATGCCCGGAATAAATAAATAATATTTATATTTTAGATACTGCTATTTTAACAATGTCGGTGCTTTCTCGATTTTGTCTCAATATGGCAGCCAATGTTGGTCTACAATATGCCGCCGAATTATTACCAACACCCGTTCGGGCCCAAGGAATAGCTTTGATTCATATTTTCGGAATTTGCGCACATTCGGTCGCTCCTTACGTCACCGATACCGTAAGTTTAATAATTTAATTAATCTACAAAAAAAAAAAATTTAATAAAAAAAATTTAAAAAAAAAATTTAATAATAATAATAATTTAATAATAATAGCAGAGAAAACAAAAAAGTCGGAAATATCACACTGAGATTGACTAAAGTTTTCTCTTTCCTGTTAAAAAAAAAATGTCCGAAAAATAATTCTTTTCAAACAATGAGTATAACTAAATTATAATTTTACTCAATTAATTAAAATTTTTTCTCAATTAACTGCAGGCAGTCTTTTGGTCCGGAATGCCAATGGCAATAATTGGTACGGTTTCCCTAATTTGTGCCATTTTGGCCCTTTTCCTGCCGGAAACAACAGGACGCCATTTACCTCAAACTTTGGAGCAAGGTGAAAATTTTGGAAAAGATCAAGAATTCTGGTCCCTGCCGTGCTTTGAAACTGATAACAAATTTTAAATTAAAATAGAAACATTATCTAGCACAAATTTTGTTATAAACTTAATAGACATTTTGACTCAAGTTTAATATTATAACAAAAAAAAAGAGATAATAATCTATTAGTGATATTTTTTTTGCTATAAACAATAGACATTAAAGGAACAAAAAAAATAATATTGTACATACACAATAAGCTGAATGCAAAAACTACAATGTTTCCTCTTTAAAATAAATAATTTTCAACTTTTAAAAAAACTGTGTAGCAATAAAAACGCTTATCTTTTAAGACTACAAAACATTTGTATATCACATGAAAAGAATTTGAAAGTATTTTCATTCTCTAAAATTTGTAAATAACACTTTTAATTAAAATAAAAAATAATAAAAATATTCTAATTACATATATTTTTATTTAGATATAGAATTTTTTTTTTAAAAGGAAATAACTGTGTGGAGCTGAAATTGACAGCCACTTAATTTTAGAAATATTAAAGTTATATATTTTTTTTAAACTGACATAAAATTTTGAAAAATTACTTGGGTGGTATTTTAGTTTTAACTATTCACAATACCAGTTTATATATAACAGAAGTTAAAAATGAAGGGTCTGCGGTCTAAACCTGTTAAGCGCCACTTTTTTCGAAATTGATTTTATTGCATTTTTTGATAGTTCTAAAATATGCCGTTAATATGCCGTAAAGAAAACTCGAAAATATTGTTTAGTTTTTTTTCTATTAATTTTTGAAAATCGCGTTTCGCTATGAGCGGCATAGGTCTGCGGTCTAAACCTGTTATCGACACATAGCGTCCTATGGAGAAAACCTATTTCTTCTCACATCTGCTCGGTTAGTTCGTTCAATAGAGCAATAGGCCTGTTTTCATTGTGTAGAAAGTGAGGTGTATGTGTTGGTCGAAACTCTGTTGGACACCATCTTCAAAAATATTCGGCAGTTTCCGACAGTTTCGTCCGCTTGTGTTTAAGCAGACGAAGTTAAACCACGTGTCTCGACTTTACAAGGTAATTAAACTTTTTCAATAAACAATAATAAAATTTTGCAAGTGGATCTAAAATGTACATGTAATTCCGAACATTTTGATGTATTAAAACTGTTTGTAGCTTGTATGAGAGCGGAGAAAAATGCGCGAACGTGAAAAAAATCGACGGCGTCATTCCAAAGGCGAGGAATACACTACGGCAAAGGGGAAGAAAATCCATGCGTTGAAAAAGCCTTCTGTCAAGGTAAGCATTGTATACATAATTTGTTGACAATTTTTCAACTTGCAATTTTTAAATTCTCTGTATACTGTAAAAATTGGGAGTTAAATTTTGGGAGTTAATTATCAAGTCCAAAACCTTAACTAAACTTACTGTCATAACCTCAAACTGTCAAAACACTTTGCTCTGTTAATTTATTTAATTTATTGATATGTTTTAATCGTACTTTATATAACATTTAACTTAATAAATAAATTTTTCTTTTTTAAACATTACTAACTTTTAACAAGTTTTCTTAACTCTATTTTCTTTAACTTGGAAAAAATGTGACTTTTATAGAATTTATTCTTTTTGGACTTAATTTTTAACTCTCTTTTTTTCAGTGTAATGTGATTAAAAATAGTGGCTTTTGAAATTTTAACGAGGACGCTCCTCATTTCGTAGTTTAATTTATTAGAATAAGTTTTTTAATGAAACTGACATCGGGAACTTTTTCTCGATGAAAAGAGACGTATAAAATTATTTTTTAAAAATTATATTAATGTTCGTTTCCAGTTGACATGCAGGTGTAAATGGAACTGCTCAGTTCTTTCTCATAAACAACGGACGCTTCTCTTCAATCAATATCGGTCATTGGATAGAAATTCACAGCGATCTTATCTGTATCTTACTTTTCTATTTTAATACATTTTTAAACTTTTTGTACAAAGAATTTATTATTTTATTTGTATTATTGGTAATAGTAAAAATATAATATCCTAAAATGTCCCGGAAATGTTTTTTTTTATTAATTAATATTTAACTGTCAAAAGTATCAAACTCTTCCAACGATTGCACTAACTTTCAAAAAAGAAACAAATTAGAACATGGCGCATAACAGGTTTAGACCGCAGGACCCCCCTGCTGATAACATATGTATAGCTTTAGAGTGTCGTACAATCGTTAATTTTAAATTTAGAAAATCGAAACTTTAGAATATCATAGATATCCACTAACTGAACGAAAAACTCTTTGAATTTAAAAAAATTAACAACAACTGTAAAAATGAAAACGTTTTTTCTCCATCCTGAAAAATTTGTGAAATGGCGCTTAACAGGTTTAGACCGCAGACCCTTCAAATGATAATCGACGTTTTTAACTTGTAAAAGATAACAATGTAACTGTAATAACAGCATTCTTAGAAATAATACACATTTGCGGTGGGTAGTTTTGAATAGTAAAATACACGTTGGTAAAAGCTACAATTCAATTATATGAATAAAACATATATATTTTATATAATACAATTCAAGTTTTGAAACAATAATGACAGAAACTTATGACGACAGAAATGACACAAAATTCAACGTTGGACGTAAAAAAATTGAAAATTTTGATGATGTACTGCCGTATGTTGGTGATTTCGGCAAATATCAATGGTTTTTAATGTTCTCGTTAGTACCATATGGACTTTCCTTTGCTTACTTGTTTTATTCACAAATTTTCATTCTGATAGTGCCACAAAATCATTGGTGTAAAATTGATGAATTAATGACTCTTAATTTAACACAAGAGCAGAGGTAAGATTTAAGATTCGACCTTTATCTATTATAAGTTTTCAATTTTGAATTTTAATTTTAAATTATGTACCTACTTTTATTAGTTTTAGAAATAAAAAATTAGAAGTAATTTTTTACTTTCAAAAAATTTTCATAATTTTGTTCAATAAATACATAAATTCGTATTCTATTTTTTCACAGAAATTAAAATGATTGATAATTTTAATGTAAAGGTTCTTTAAATTTACTTATTTACAAAAATTCATACTATAACGCATTTAATATTAAATTAAAATCTAAAATTTTAACTAAAATTCATTTTTCAATTAGTTCTTATTAGAAACTTCTACAAGAATTCAATTATTTAAATTTAAAAATAAGTAATTTATAAGAATTAAATCATTATTTCTCAAAATTAAAACATTTAAAATAGCGTGAAGAATTTTATTATTCATAAAAATAATTAAATTCTTGCAATGAATTTCAGTAAATTTTAAAAAATAATTGAAATTCTGTGAAGAATTTTATTATTCATAAAAATAATTGAATTCTTGCAACGAATTTCAATAAATTTTAAAAAATAATTGAAATTCTGTTAAGAATTTTATTATTTATGAAAATAATTGAATTCTTGCAACGAATTTCAGTAAATTTTAAAAAATAATTGAAATTCTGTTAAGAATTTTATTATTTATGAAAATAATTGAATTCTTGCAACGTATTTTAGGAAATTTTTTTAAATAAATGAAATCGTGTGAACAATTTTATTATTTATGAAAATAATTAAATTCTTCTAAAGAATATTAATATTCATAAAAATAATTGAATTCTTGCAACGAATTTCAGTACATTTTTTAAAATAATTGAAATCGTGTGAAGAATTTTATTATTTATAAAAATAATTAAATTCTCGCTACGAATTTCAGTATTTTAAATAATTGGAATTCTGTGAAAAAATTTATTATTTATGAAAATAATTGAATTCCTGCAACGAATTTCAGTAAATTTTTTTAAATAATTGAATTTCTGTGAAGAATTTTATTATTTATGAAAATAATTGAATTCTTTTTAGGAATATTATTATTCATAAAAATAATTAAATTCTTGCAACGAATTACAGTACATTTTTTAAAAATAATTGAAATCGTGTGAAGAATTTTATTATTTATAAAAATAATTGAATTCTTGCTACGAATTTCAGTGTTTTAAATAATTGAATTTCAGAGAAGGATTTAATATTATTTATGAAAATAATTGAATTCTTGCAACGAATTTCAGTAAATTTTAAAAAATAATTGAAGTTCTGTGAAGAATTTTATTATTTATGAAAATAATTGAATTCTTGCAACAAATTTTAGGAAATTTTTTTTTGAATAATTGAATTTCTGTAAAGATTTTTTTTTTAATTAGGAAAATAATTGAATTCTTGCAATAAATTTCAGTAAATGTTTTTAAATAATTGAATTTGTGGGAAGAATTTTATTATTTAAGAAAATCATTGAATTTCTGTGAAGAATTTTATTATTTATTAAAATAATTGAATTCCTGCAACGAATTTCAGTAAATTTTTTTAAATAATTGAATCCTTGTGAAAATTTTTTTTTATTTATGAAAATAATTGAATTCTTGCAACGAATTCTGGTACATTTTTTTTAAATAATTGAATTCTTGCAACGAATTCTGGTACATCTTTTTTAAATAATTGAATTTCTGTGAAGAATTTTATTATTTATAAAAATAATTGCATTCTTGCAACGAATTTCAGTAAATTTATTTAAATAATTTAATTTTTTAAAAGAATTTTATGAAAATTTAAAAGAATATTTCAAATATTTCGAATAATTTAATTCAAACTGTATTCAAATTAATTGAATTTCTGTGAAGAATTTTATTATTTATGAAAATAATTGAATTCTTGCAACGAATTTTAGGAAATTTTTTTAAATAATTGAATTTGTTTAAGGAATTTTATTATTTAAGAAAATAATTGAATTCTTCTTAAGAATATTGTTATTTATGAAAATAATTATATGTTGATAAAATTTTTAAGACTAATTGCATTTTCGAGGAATTCGTTTAAAATGGTATTAAAAATAATTGAAATGGTGTGAAGAATTTTATTAATTATTATGAAAATAATTCAATTCTTGCATCGAATTTTATTAATAATTTAAATAATTGTAATAATAATTGAATTCTTTTGAATCTTTTTATATTAAGAATTTTGAAAATAATTACATTCTTTTAAGGAAAATAAATTAAATTATATTAAAAATAATTGAATTTTTGCGAAGTATTTTATAAGTTTTTTTTCTTAAATAATTGTATTTTTTTCAGAAATTTGATTAAAATTGTAGATTTTGAAAATATTTGGATTTTAGCGAAGGATTTAATATTATTTGTGAAAATTATTGAATTCTTGCAAAAAATGGTTGAATTGTTTATAAGAAGAATATTTATTAATAATTAATTAAATAATTATTTTACTTCATCTATTATCAAATTTAAATTTTAAAGTAGTTCAAGTTTTGAAAAAAAAAGAAAAAAGTAGCTTTTAGTGTCACAAATTTAAAAGAAGTATCCAAATAGTAACTAATGGTAAAAAAACTAGTAAATAGTAGTTTTTGGTAGATGAGTGCCAGAAGTTGATATTTACATTAAATATTACAGAATAAATCTGGCTATTCCAAAATCTAAGAATTATCCATTTTATGACAGATGTCATTTTAAGAGGCTAAATTATAAAAATATTAGCATAAGACCAGAGGATAAGTTTAATTTCTCAAATTTTCACACAAATGAAATAGATCCATGCAATCAGTGGGAGTACGATTTTAATGAGATTCCATATTCCACCATTAGTTCAGAGGTTGGTATTACTAATTAATTGAAATAATTTTAATAAGACGACTTAAAAAAAAGTCGTTTCAGTCTATTAAAAAAAAAAAAATTTGATTCTACTTGTGATTTCAACAGTTGAATTGGGTTTGTGACAAAGAATATCTCATAGCAACAATACAATCACTTTTCTATGTTGGTTCCGTTTTGGGAAACTTTATCTTCGGCTGGATTTCCGATCGCTATGGACGAATTAAAGGTTTATTATGCTGTACAGCAAGTGGATTTATTGCTACAATTGTAACACCCAGTGCTCAAAGTTTCTGGTCATTTGCTATTTGTCGATTTTTCACTGGTTTTGCGTACGATAATATTTTAATGATTCCATTGATTGTTGGTGAATATTTATTTTATGTACTTTCTCGAAATGCTTCTAATAAATAAATATTTACCTAAAATAATTTTATATTTCAGTTTTGGAATATTTAGGTATTCGGAAAAGAGCAGCGGCAGGTTGTCTTCTATTAGGGGTGCTGTATTGTTTTTCTATTGATATTGTTAATGGCAGTGCATATTTTATAAGAAATTGGCATTATTTTACATATGTTTGTTCAATGTCATTTTTAATTTCTTTTTTTGTTACATTTCTACTGCCAGAAAGTACTCGGTATGTTATTTGTAAATTCTTCACGAATATTTCTATTTTTATTAATTGTATTTTCTATTTATTCACTGGTCCATACCTTTCGGTTTCGGACGATGTTTCGGATTACATCTCACATATTCTCATATTTATTAAATTATATATTATTAAGAAAAGAATAAAATTGCATTGCAGTTGGTACATGTCCAAAGGAATGCATGACAAAATATTGAGGAAGTTGAGAAGAATAGCGGAAGTGAATAAAATGAATCCAAAATCATGGGTGTATGATGAATTTATAGTGAGTTGAACATTATTGAACATTTGAAATAAAACAGTTTGATGAGTTTATAATAATTAGTTGATTGACAGTAAATTAATATCACGCAGGAAAGTATATCTGACGGTAAGAAAAATATTGAAGATGCTATTTTGTTGGATTTAAGAAGAACTCCTCATCTAGCTAGAAATACAATTCTTCTTGCAATGATTTAGTAAGTAAAAGAGTAAATTATTTATGTACTAAACAATTATTTATGTACTACAATTATTTATGTACTAAACAATTGTTTATGTACTAAACAATTATCTATGTACTAAACAATTATTCATGAACTAAACAATTATTTACATACAAATTCGTATTGTTTTCAGTGGAATTTCTTCTTTGATGATGGATACTTATATATTTTTTTCAAACAGAACTAATATATCTGTATTCATGTCCTTTGTGTGGTTTTCTGTTGAATCAGCGACAGCCACAATATTGTTGAGAATATTCGGAAGTAGATGGGGACAGAGATTTTCAGTTTCAATCGCTTTACTGTTTAGTGGAATGTGTAGCTTAATATTCATTTTAAATAATTCAGGTAATAAAATAATGAATAAAAATTAAAAGTGCTTTTTGAATGCTATCGAAAAATTAACATTTTTTTTTTTTTTTGCAGAAACAATAAAAATTATTACTGGATGTTTGGGAAGAATGAGCATGAGTTATATGCTATTGATGTACGTTCAATATGTACCAGAATTTTTCCCAACCACATTGAGAACACAGGGCACTGCATTAATTCATTTTTTAAGTATTGTGATGCACTTTGCAGCACCTTATGTAATTATTTTGGTAAGAAATTTTAATATTCTTAGTACGCACCTAAAATTTTCAAATATATTTTACTTTATTTTCGTTTCTGTTATTATTCTTTCCTCAGGCTAGCATTTGGAGAGAATTACCAATGATAATCATAGCAATTTTGTCACTACTAAATTCAGTATTAATACTTTTTCTTCCTGAAACTTTGGGGAAAAATTTACCCCAAACACTTGAGGATGGTGAGAATTTTTGCAAGAACAAAAAATTCTGGCCAATTTTCATTTCCCGAGGGAAAAATAATGTTTCTTAATTCTTAATAAAAAGAAGGGGAAAAAGTAATTAAAAATAAAAATATTTTCTATCAAGTATTAATCGGATAGGAATATAATTTGTAAAATTTCTAATTGACTCACTTACGTAATTATATAAATACTATTCCTAATAATTTTTTTATGAAAATAATATTTATTTTTTGTAGATTAGGAAAGACACGTGAAAAAATAAACAATCACCTACATAACCATTCGTGCATTATAATTAGTTTCCTTTGTTTTATTTGTTGTTTTTTTTTTAAAAGCGAGTTTAGAATAAACAAAACGAGAAATTACGCAGTTTTGAAAATATAGTTATTAAATGATCGGGGAAAAGACAACACTTATTAGTGTTGCTTCTCTTGTTGAATTAAAAAAACAATGTTTTTTCAATTAAAGTAATGTTAGTAATTGTTAGTGTTAATTAAAGTGTTAATTAAGTGTTAATTAAATATCAGATAGCAAAAATGGAAAAATTAAATAATGATGATAATGAACAATGCTTGACGAGAGGGCGAAAAAAAATAGAAGATTTTGATGATATTTTAACACATGTTGGCGATTTTGGAAAATATCAGTTTACACTAATGTTGTCATTAATTGTTTTTGGTTCGGGCTTAACCACAATTTATTTTTCGCAAATTTTTCTTACTTTAGTGCCACAGAAACATTGGTGTAAAGTTAATGAATTAATGAATTTTAATTTGACGCAAGAAGAAAGGTAAGAATGAAGATGAAGATCTATTATTAGTTTTTAATTTCAAATTTATTAGATGCTTTTATTAGTTTTCGAAATGATTTAATACCAGAAGAGCTAAATTACTATTTTTTAAAATTTGTTCCAACATTTGGATGAAAAGTCGCATTTTTTTAAAACAAACCAAGGCATGTTAATATTAATAGTTTTAATGACATATTTAAATGTTTTATAATTAATAATTGTTAAAAAAAATTTACGCGAAATAACAATAATAAAAATAATCATAATTAGATGATTAAAATTTCCCCACCATACAGAAGAAAATTAATTATTCCACAATCAAAGGATTATCCATATTACGATCGATGTAATTACAAAATTTTCAATTACACAAATATTAGTAGAGACAATTTCAATTCATTTAATTGGAATGCAGATAAAAGTATTAAGTGCAGTCAGTGGGAATATGATTTTAACGAAATTCCATACGCCACCATTAGCACAGAGGTAATTTTTATTACTTTACTCAAATGATTTTTGAAAATTTGTTTAAATAATTTTTTCATAAAGAATTCACAATATTTATTGCTGCAGGAAAAAGTAATATCAATATAATATAATTTCAACAGTTAAACTGGGTTTGTGAGAAAGAGTATCTTATAGCAACGACACAATCACTTTTCTATGTTGGATCTGTTTTTGGAAACTTTATTTTTGGTTGGATTTCCGATCATTATGGAAGAACTAGAGGTTTACTTTGTTGTACGATAGCAGCATTTTTTGCGTCAATTGCCACAGCACATAGTCACAATTTTTGGTCATTTGCAGCTTGTCGTTTTTTTGTAGGCTTTGCTTATGATAGTATCATAATGATTCCGATGATAATCGGTAAATTTTTCTTCTTCAATATTCTTCTAGTACAATTGAGAGTCCCAATCGAATTTTGAGTCTCAAAAACTTATAACCAGTTCTTTGATTAGGTCCCTCAATTTTTAATTAATATAGAATAATTGCTCCAGTTGTTGGCACCCTTCTAATAATTAGAAATACACCAAAAAACTATGTCTTGCATACGAAGGGTTGCGACAGAAATTTAATTTTGTTTTTCCCACACTTTTTAGCATTATCAAATTCTAAAACACTTTTTTTTTACTAAAATCACTTGATTTTAGCAAAAAAAAAAAATATATATATATATAACTTAGCATTTCTTGTTATTTTTAAGAAAATCAAGAAGGGTGCCAACTGGAGCATTTCCTCCAAAGTTATTAATTAAAAGAGATTTTTCCCTAAAGTTTTAGAGTACGTAATGCCGATGAAGAGATCTCTCATTGGATGGTTGGCAATGGGAGTAAATTTTACAATCGGAGCCTTAACCGTACCTTGGACTTCTTATTTTATCAGCAATTGGAGAATTTTAGCTTATGTAAATTCACTTCCATGTCTGCTGTGTTTTTTACTAACGCTGATAATGCCGGAAAGCACTCGGTTAATATGAATTTATTTTAACCAAAAAACACAATTTGTCAAAAGAGTCTAAAATATAAAAAGAGTAAAATATCAATATTATAATTTAAAATTACTGTTTTTGTTAATTTTTTTTTATTTTTTATTTTTTTTATTGTTAAATTCATCCATCCTTTGTTTTTGTTAATTTTAGCTGGTACATGTCCAAAGGAATGTACCATAAAGTTATTGAGATGTTAAGAAGAATATCTAAAGTGAATGGTAAAAGTCCCGAACCGGGGATTTATAACGAATTTTTAGTAAGTAAATATAGTACAGGCTTCGCACTCAATAATTAATTTTAAAAAAGTGTCAAATAGTAGTTTTAAGATTTAAAAAAAGTAGTAAATAAAGTAGTTATCGAAAAATTAAATTTGACGACTGAAAAACACGTTTTAAATTTACAAAAATTACCAAAAAAAATTTGATTCTGTATTTCCCTGATTTTCATAAAAAATATTCACTTTTCTTCTAAACCTATTGTAATAACTTGAATTTTTAATTTTTAGGAAATTCAATTATTTTCCAAACTTATAGTTAGAATTCTTAAAAAATTCGATTATATTTGAAAATAACTCTTCAAATTAACTAAGATATTCAAAGAATTAAAATTAAAATTTTTCAAAAGACTAATTTTTCTTGCAATGAATTTAATTATTATTTATGAATTCCTGTGACAATTTTATTATTTATGTAAATAATTAAACTCTTGCAACGAATTTTAGTACATTTTTTAAAATAATTAAATGCCTGTAAAAACTTTTTTATTTATGAAAATAATTGACTTCTTGCAACAAATTTTACTATTTATAAAAATAATTCAATTCTTTCAAAGAATTGTATTAACAATTTTTTTTTAATAATTGAATTTTTGTGAAGAATTTTATTATTTATGAAAATAATTGAATTCTTACAACGAATTTCAATAAATATTTTTAAATAATTTAATTCCAGTGAAAAATTTTTGTATTTATGAAAATAATTGAATTCTTGCAACGAATTTTACTATTTATAAAAATAATTCAATTTTTGCGAAGAATTTTAATATTTATAAAAAGAATTTTAGAAAATAATTGAATTCTTTCAAAAAATTGTATTAAAATTTTTTTTAAATAATTGAATTTCTGCGAAGAATTTTATTACATTTTTTTAAATAATTGAATTGCAACGATTTTCAGAAAGCTTTTTTACATAATTGAATTACTGTAAATTTTTTTTTTTATTTATAAAAATAATTTAATTCTTGCAACGAATTTTACTATTTATAAAAATAATTCAATTTTTGCGAAGAATTTTAATATTTATAAAAATAATTTTAGAAAATAATTGAATTCTTTCAAAAAATTGTATTAAAATTTTTTTTAAATAATTGAATTTCTGCGAAGAATTTTATTACATTTTTTTAAATAATTGAATTGCAACGATTTTCAGAAAGCTTTTTTACATAATTGAATTACTGTAAATTTTTTTTTTATTTATAAAAATAATTTAATTCTTGCAACGAATTTTATTAAATTTTTTTAAATAATTAAATTCCAGTGAAAAAATTTTTTTTATTTTTAAAAATAATTGAATTCTTGCAACGAATTTTAGTAAATTTTTTTAAACTAATTGAATGTTTTTGAAGAATTTTATTATTTATGAAAATAATTGAATTCTTGTGATGAATATTTTTATTTATGAAAATAATTGAATTTTACAAAGAATTTGATTCAAATGCCTCAAAATAATTGAATTTTCAGGAATAATTTTATTATTTATCGACATAATTGAATTCCTTCGAAGTGTTTATTAAAATTTTAGAAAAAAATTGAATTCTTTCGAAAAATTTTATAATTTATAAAAATAATTTAATTCTTGCAAAGAATTTTACTATTGATAATAATAATTTAATTCTTGCGAATAATTTTACTATTTAGAAAAATAATTGAATTCTTTTCAAGTGTTTATTAAAATTTTAGAAAATAATTGAATTCTTTACAAAAATTTTTATAAATAATTAAATTCCTGTGAAATTTTTTTTTATTTTTGAAAATAATTGAATTCTTGCAACGAATTTTAGTAAATTTTTTAAACTAATTGAATGTTTTTGAAGAATTTTATTATTTATGAAAATAATTGAATTCTTGTGATGAATATTTTTATTTATGAAAATAATTGAATTTTACAAAGAATTTGATTCAAATGCCTCAAAATAATTGAATTTTTAGGAATAATTTTATTATTTATCGACATAATTGAATTCCTTCGAAGTGTTTATTAAAATTTTAGAAAAAAATTGAATTCTTTCGAAAAATTTTATTATTTATAAAAATAATTTAATTCTTGCAAAGAATTTTACTATTGATAATAATAATTTAATTCTTGCGAATAATTTTACTATTTAGAAAAATAATTGAATTCCTGTGAATATTTATTTTTATTGATGAAAATATTTGAATTCTTGCCATGAATTTAATTAGGTATTTATGAAAATAATTTAATGCTATATAAATTAATAAATTAATAATTAATTAATAATTATTTTACTTCAAGTAAATTAGTGTATTTAAATTTTAAAGTAGTTCAAATTTTTTTTTTTTGGTACGAATTCAAGCTAAAAATTTGGATCAATTTTTTATTTGATCCACATTTTTGATACCAATTCGTTGCAATTAAGTTTTAAGTTAACAGTAATTAAATACCAAACATCAGATTATAGTAATGAGTAATTATATTATTTTTTTGTTCTTGCAGAAAAATATATCACTCGACAATAATACTGTAGAAAATGCAACAATATTTGATTTGAGAAAGACACCACATCTTCGTAAAAATATTTTTCTCTTGGCTATCGCTTTGTAAGATTCATTTCATCTAAATTTTTGCTATCAGTCAATATTTCTGGTACTTTACAATTTTTTAGTTCTTGTCTTTCTAAACTACTTCAAAATCCAAAAGTAAAAACAAAATTGCCTGGTAGCCATTAGCAATTTTATGATCCTAATTATTGAATCCTTTTATTCTTAATTTTCAGCTCATTTTCAACGCTAATTATGGACACGCACATATATTATTCAAACAGATACAACATGTCTGTCTTCATCTCCTTCTCTTGGTTCAGTCTCGAAATTTTTTTCGCATCTACAGTTTCAAAATTCACTGCAAATTTATGGGGTCTCAGATTCAATGGATTTTTGGGACTGTTTCTAACATCCGTCTTTAGTTACACATTTGTTTTTACTTCCAATGGTATTTTATATTAAAATTTACAAAATTTCCTAATGCTGCTTTTCTAATTTTATTGCCTAATTGAAATAATCAAATTTGCATTATTAACAGAAACTGTAAAATTAATTTCCGGATCGATTGGTCGAATGAGTATCAGTTTCATACAAATTTTATACAGTCAATACGTACCCGAATTTTTTCCAACAACATTTCGTGCTCAGGGTTCTGGTTTAGTTCGTTTTCTAAGCATCATTGTTCATTTCATTGCACCCTATGTAATTGTTCTGGTAAATAGTTATTTTTTCTGAAATCTCATAATTAATCTACTAACTGAATTATATTAATTGACTGAATTATAAATCGAAATTTTAATTTCTAATTTCTTTTAGGCCAGCACTTGGAGAGAGTTACCAATGTTGATAATTGCAACCCTTGCTCTTGTGGATTCATTCTTAATTCTCTTTCTCCCAGAAACTGTGGGCAAGTGTTTGCGACAAACCCTTCAAGATGGAGAGGACTTTTGTAAGAGTAAAAAATTCTGGCCAATTTTTATTATCAACAACAAGTGAAGAGCAAAAAGAAAACTTCTTCTTACATTGCAATTTTTTTATTTTCATTATGTTATGTCATAATTAACAAAATTATGTTGTACTGTTCTGTATACGTACAATTTTGTACCTACAATTTCTAATTTTACAAAGAGAAAATTATTTTTGTTACAATTATAAAACATTTCTTACTATTAATAATATTGTTACTTAATTGTTTTATCTTTATTTAGATACCTATTTATAGTCCAATATTGGACCATAAATAATAAATAATAAATAATAAATATATTAATAAATAAATAAATAAATTTTACAAAATTATTATCTTATATGCACTTCAAAAATTATTTATCAAAAAAGCGCGTCAAGCATTAATTAAACAATTCAAGAAACTTTAACAGTTGAAATAAATGCAAGATAACAGAAAAAAGTCATTGTTGAACATGAATCATTTATATCACCTTACGAGGCAATCTTAAAAGTTAAATTACAGGTTTTTACAACTTCACTTTACTCGAGTAGTATTAAAAAAAAAGAATAATATAAAAGAAAAACGAATAGTTATTTTTATATTTCCAACTAGTTATTTAAACATTAATGTTTTCTAATTCTCAATACTTGTTTGCTTTAAAAGTAAATAGACTTTCAGAAAAGAAAACTTTTCTCATACAAACTTTAAGTTTTTGAAAAAAAAATAAAATTATTAAATGGAGAAAGATCCTAGTGATGTTAGAGAACAATTTTTCAAAAAAAGTAAAAAAAAATTGGAAGCCTTCGATGATATATTATCATATGTTGGTGATTTTGGAAAATATCAATGGATATTGCTGTTGACATTTTTTCCCTTTGGTATTGCATTCACGACAGTTTTTTTCTCACAAATATTTATTACAGTTGTGCCACAAAAACATTGGTGTAAAGTTAATGAATTCGTGGATTTTAATTTAACACAAGAGCAAAGGTATTTTTTTTTGTGTTATTATCATGAATTACACTGAAAAAAAAATTTGATTACAAAATTTGATTCAAATAACCGATTAATTGACTATTATCAATTAAATATTTAATTGATTTAAACAATATTTATTGGAGTCAATTAAATGGTTCAATTCATATTTGCTTTAAATACTGAAACTAATGGTTCAAATACTGAAATTAATGGTTTAAATACCATTTAATTGACTCGAATAAATGTTATTTGATTCAAATAAATATTTAATTGATAATAGTCAATTAATCGGTTATTTGAGTCAAAGAAATTTTTTTTACAGTGTAAGGAAAGAAACAACTCAAGGAACTTGAAGCTTGTTCTGTAAACAGACAAAGCAGGCTTGTAGGTAAAAATTATTTAAATTCAAAAATAAAATTAATTACAGATTTAAATTAGTCATTCCACAAGGAAAATATCCATTTTTTGACAGATGTCATTATAAAAAATATAATTTCCCAAATATTAGTGAAGAATTGGAAGAGAATTATAATTTTTCAATCTGGGAAACAGAAGAAATAATTCAGTGCAATCAATGGGAGTACGATTTTAATGAGATTCCGTACTCCAGCATTGGTACTGAGGTAAATTTATAATAATTAATGATTAAAATTGAGAAATTAAAAACAAAATTAAAATTTAATTAAACAGAGTTGCTACGAAAATTTAATTTTGCTTTTTCCTAACTTTTCGATGATTTACAGACAATATTTTCCCAAAACAACAGCTTTTTCCCTGAAGCTAAAGAATATTCTGATTCACTCTAAAAATGATTAGATGCTCAAAAATTTGTATTATTATCAAAATTTTCTATTACATTTATTTACGAATTTCTTAAATTGTAAAATTATTCGAAAGCATCAATATTTTTATTTAAACTAAATATTTAAACATTATTATTTTTTCATAAAAATTAGGAATTTTCAAAATTTTCAAATTTTTAATAAAAAAAAATAGTATGATATTGAAAATTGTTAAATTGAGGATAATTGTTGAAAATAATTAAAATTTTGCCGAGAATTTACAAAAAAATTTTTAACATAATTGAATATTTACGAAGAATATAATTTATTTTTGAAATTAATTGAATTTCGGCAATAATTTATAACTTCTCTAAAATTAATTTTATTTCAATTCAATTATTATTATCTTGAATTTTAAATCAATCAATTTTTTTTTTGAAAATTATATTTAATTATTTAAATACAAAAATAAATAATTTATTAAATAATTGAATGTTTCTGAAAATTTAATTGTCATAAAGAATTTTATCAACTAATTTTTAAATAATGGAATTCTTTCGAAGAATTTTTTTTAATAACATTTTTAAGAAGAATTATATTTTTCGAAAAATTTGATTAAAATTGTTGTAAAAATAATTGAAATTCTGTGATGAGTTTTATTATTTTTATAAAAATATTTGTATTCTTGTAAAAAATTTATTATTTTATATAAAAATATTTGAATTATTGCAAAGAAATTTATAAAAAAATTTGAAAATAATTGAATTTCTGCCTTGAATTCTTTTACTATTGATAATAATTGAATTATTGTAAAAATATTTATAAAAAATTTGTAAATAATTGAATTCCTCTGAAATTTTTATTATTTATGAAAATAATTAAATGTTTTTTTTAGTAGAATTTTACCAAAATCTTTTTTAAATAAATGAATTTTTTTGGAAAATTTTATTAAAATATTAGATATTAAAAATCATTGGATTAAAGAAAATTTTTGAAAATTTTTAAAAAAATTTCTCAAGTATTTTATTAAAATTTTTTTAATAATAATTGAATTGAGAAGAAGAATTTTATTATTTATGAAAATCATTGAATTCTTGCAACGAATTTTAGTAAAAAATTTTAAACAATTGAATTCCAGTGAAATTTTCATTATTTATAAAAATAATTAAATGTTTGAAAATAATTTTATCAAGATTTTTTTAAATAATTGAATTTTGTACGTAAATTTTATGGAAATACACAGTTCGATATTGAAAATCATTAAATTGAGAAAAATTTTTTAAGATATTTGAAATTTTCACAAGAATTTTATTAAAAATTTTTGGAAATAATTGAATTCTTGGAAAATTTTCATTATTTATAAAAATAATTAAATCTTTGCGTAGAATTTTATTTAATTTTTTTTTTAATAATTGAATTCTGTTGGAAACTTTTTGAAAATAATTGAAATTTTCTAAAGAATGTTATTAAAAATTTTTGTTTTAAATAATTGAATTGCGGAGAAGAATTATATTATTTATAAAGATAATTGAAATTTTGAAGAGAATTTTATAAAAAAAAAACATTATTGAATTTCTGCGAAGAATTTTATTTCTATTGGAAATAATTGAATTCTTGCAACGAATTTTAGTAAAAAATTTTAAACAATTGAATTCCAGTGAAATTTTCATTATTTATAAAAATAATTAAATGTTTGAAAATAATTTTATCAAGATTTTTTTAAATAATTGAATTTTGTACGTAAATTTTATGGAAATACACAGTTCGATATTGAAAATCATTAAATTGAGAAAAATTTTTTAAGATATTTGAAATTTTCACAAGAATTTTATTAAAAATTTTTGGAAATAATTGAATTCTTGGAAAATTTTCATTATTTATAAAAATAATTAAATCTTTGCGTAGAATTTTATTTAATTTTTTTTTTAATAATTGAATTCTGTTGGAAACTTTTTGAAAATAATTGAAATTTTCTAAAGAATGTTATTAAAAATTTTTGTTTTAAATAATTGAATTGCGGAGAAGAATTATATTATTTATAAAGATAATTGAAATTTTGAAGAGAATTTTATAAAAAAAAAACATTATTGAATTTCTGCGAAGAATTTTATTTCTATTGGAAATAATTGAATTCTTGCAACGAATTTTAGTAAAAAATTTTAAACAATTGAATTCCAGTGAAATTTTCATTATTTATAAAAATAATTAAATGTTTGAAAATAATTTTATCAAGATTTTTTTAAATAATTGAATTTTGTACGTAAATTTTATGGAAATACACAGTTCGATATTGAAAATCATTAAATTGAGAAAAATTTTTTAAGATATTTGAAATTTTCACAAGAATTTTATTAAAAATTTTTGGAAATAATTGAATTCTTGGAAAATTTTCATTATTTATAAAAATAATTAAATCTTTGCGTAGAATTTTATTTAATTTTTTTTTTAATAATTGAATTCTGTTGGAAACTTTTTGAAAATAATTGAAATTTTCTAAAGAATGTTATTAAAAATTTTTGTTTTAAATAATTGAATTGCGGAGAAGAATTATATTATTTATAAAGATAATTGAAATTTTGAAGAGAATTTTATAAAAAAAAAACATTATTGAATTTCTGCGAAGAATTTTATTTCTATTGGAAATAATTGAATTTTGCAAAGAATTTTTTAAAATTTTTTTGAAAATAATTGAATTTCGGGGGAATATTTGTTATTTTTGAGAATAATTGAATTTTTAGGAAGAATTTTTATAAAAAAAAACTTTTAAATAATTGATTTTTTTACTTACAATTTCAATTTTAAATAATTGAATTCCTATGAAATTTTTATTATCTATTTAAACAAATAATTGAATGTTTCAGAAGAATTTTATCAAGATTTTTTAAAATAATTAAATTTTATAGAATAGTAGATATTGAAAATATATAAATTGCGAAAAATTTTTTAAAATAATTACAATTTTGACAAGAATTTTATTAAAATTTTTGAAAATAAATAATTGAATTTCGTGTCAATTAAAAAAAAAAATTCAAACATTTCTTATGAATTCTAAAAATTTATTTTTTTGTCAGTACTTTTAATAATAATCCCTAACTTTTCCCTGAATTCCCCGACTTCCTCACCTGTGGCAACCCTGTTAAATAAATATATATGAAAATAAATAGAAATTCTCAAGAGAAAATACTAAAAAATTGAATTTTTACATAGATGAATTGGGTCTGCGACCAAGAATACCTAGTAGCAGCGGCTCAATCAATTTTTTGCATTGGTTCGATTTGTGGAAATTTTCTCTTCGGTTGGATCTCCGATCGCTATGGTCGGAAGAAAGGTTTACTTTGTTGCTCAGCAACGGCATTTATTGCTTCAATTGGAACTGCTAACACCCACAATTTTTGGTCTTTCGCTCTTTGCCGATTTTTAATGGGTTTTGCATTCGATAATATTGTAATGATTCCATTTATTATTGGTGAATATGACTCTCACTATGATTTAAAACTTTTTTTACTTTTTTAATTACTTAAGTGCCAAATTTTGGCCTTTAAATCATCTGAGTATTAATATTTATAATTTGTATTCATAAACTAATTTTCAACAGTTTCAGAATACGTTTCTGCAAATAAAAGATCAGAGATTGGTTGCCTTCTATTTGGATTTTGTCTTGGAATTGGATTATTAGTCGTAACCTGGTCGTCTTATTTAATTCAAAATTGGAGACTCTTTGTCTACTTTAATTCACTGATATGCCTTATTGGTTTTATCACTGCTCTTCTTATGCCAGAAAGTGCTCGGTGAGAAGAAAGAAGGATTTTTAATTAATTCAGACTAGTTAAAAATTAATTTTTAATTAATTTAGATTAATTAAAAATTGATTTTTAATTAAATTAGACTAATTAAAAAATTAATTTTTAATTAATTCTGACTAATTAAAAATTGAGTTAAAAATTATTTTTTTAAATTAACAATTAATTTCCTGCTAGTTGGTACTTGACGAAAGGCATGACTGATAAAATTCTGAAAAAATTACGAAGAATATCGAAAGTAAATGGTAAAGTTCCGGAGGATGATTTGCTTCTAGAATCTTTGGTAGGTTAAAAACTTGTTTTTGAAATTTCCCCTAAGGCACCAAAAGGCAACTATTGGATATTATATTATTATTATTATTATTATTAATAATTATTAATTTTTTTCTCAAGGAAAACATAACGAGGAGAAATAAAAATGTTGAAAATGCAACTCTCTTGGATCTCAGAAGTTCTCCAAGTCTTTCGAAAAATGTTATTCTCTTGGCAATTGTTTTGTAAGAAAGTTTAAACAATTTTTTTTCATAAATACTTTTTTATTAATAACTTAATAAAAACACTATATCGGCTATTTGTAAAAATTTCAGTGCACAGAATACTTTAACGATGGACACACATATTTATTATTCGAATAGATACGAAATGACAATTTTTATGTCGTTTACTTGGTTCAGTGTTGAATTATTTATAGCTTCTTTATTTGTAAGATTATTTTCTGTTCGATGGGGTCTGAGATTCAGTGGATTTATAGGTCTCTTTCTAGCCACAATTTTTGGTTTTACATTTGTGTTTACAAAAAATGGTAATTAATTAATTTTGCATCTTTTGTTATTTAAAGAAGAAAATACGATTTACATTCTAATTGCTTAATTTTTTTTTTATGGTTTTTGGCAGAAATTGTAAAAATTGTTGCCGGATCAATAGGTCGAATGTGTATGTGTTTTGTGCAAGTCTTATACAGTCAATATGTTGCCGACTTTTTTCCAACCACTCTCAAGGCACAAGGTAGTGCTTTGGTTCATTTTGTCAGTGTCCTCATGCACTTTGTTGCGCCATATATTATCGTATTGGTAAATATATCAAATAATTTCTATTAAATTTTATTTTTATTTAAATCGAATAAATTTTTGTTGAACAAATAATTTCCCTATAATTTGAAGCAACTTAGTTGATTTTAATAAGAATTACTTGATTCAAGTAAATATTCATTTTTTTAAATAATTGAATTCCCTGTTAAAATTTTTATTATTTATAAAAATAATTGAATTTTTGCAACGAAGTTCAGTAAATTTTTTTAAATAATTGAATTTATGTGAAGAATTTTATAATTTTAAAAAATAATTGAATTCTTGCAACGAATTTCAGGAAATTTTTTTTAATAATTGAATTTCTGTTAAGAATTTTTTTTATTTATGAAAATAATTGAATTCTTCCAACGAATTTCAGGAAATTTTTTTTAATAATTGAATTTCTGTGAAGAATTTTATTGTTTATGAAAATAATTAAATTCTTCCAACGAATTTTAGTAAATTTTTTTAAATAATTGAATTCCTGTGAAAATTTTTTTTATTTATAAGAATAATTGAATTCTTGCAACGAATTTCAGGAAATTTTTTAAAATAATTGAATTACTGTGAAAATTTTTTTTTATTTATGAAAATAATTGAATTCTTGTGATGAATATTGTTATTTATGAAAATAATTGAATTTTGTAAAGAATTTTATTAACATGCCTCAAAATAATTGAATTTTCGGGAATAATTTTATTATTTATCGACATAATTGATTTTTTCGAAGTGTTTATTAAAATTTTAGAAAATAATTGAATTTTTTCGAAAAATTTTATTAAAATTTTTTTTAAATAATTGAATTTCTGTGAAGAATTTTATTATTTATGGAAATAATTGAATTCTTGCAACGAATTTCAGTAAATGTTTGTAGATAATTGAATTGCTGTGAATATTTTTTTTATTTATGAAAATAATTGAATTTTTGCAACGAAGTTCAGTAAATTTTTTTAAATAATTGAATTTATGTGAAGAATTTTATAATTTTCAAAAATAATTGAATTCTTGCATCGAATTTCAGTAAATTTTTTTAAATAATTGAATGTGTTACTAAATAAATAAATTTATGAAAATAATTTAATGCTTATAAAGAAATGTTATCAAAATTTTGGAAAATAAAATTATAATTTCTTTCTTTTGTTTTTTTGCCTATTATTTCTATTTTACTACTTCCGAAGAGAATTTCTTTCCTAAAATTAGAAAAACTTAATTCAGAAGTAGTAAAATTTAATTTGTAAATAATAATTTTTGATAACAAAATGTACTATATTGGAAAAAAATTACTCAACAAATTTTTATACAAAAATTAAAGAGTGGAAATAGTAAAATTTATTGCTAATAAAAACTGTTCCAAAGTGAATTTTACAATATTTGTAATAAGTTTTAGTACAAAATAGTAAAATTTACTACTTTGCAAATTTTTATTTCCAGAATAATTTTTATTATTTGCGAAGAAAATTTATTTATTAAAATTTTTTAAATTTATATCAGAAGTAGTAAAAAAAAGTTGTAAATAAAATAGTAAAATTTATTGTTACAAATTTTTATTTCGAGAATAACTTTTATTATTTGCGAAGAAAATTTCTTTACGAAATTAGAAAAACTTACATCAAGAGTAGTAAAATTTATACACAGAAATATTAAAATTTGATAATAAAAATATTTTACTATATTTGTAGTAAATTTCAGTAAAAAATAGTAAAATATATTTTAGGCTTGGCAAAATTTCTCCCAAAAATCATAAAAATTATTAACTTTTTTTTTCAAAAAAAATTTTTATTATTTGCAAAGATAATTTATTTATGAAAATTAGAAAAAATTGTTATTCTTTTACTATTCTCGAAAAAAAATTTTAAAAATTTACTACAGATATAGTAAAATTTACTCTGTAAATAATTTTTAATTACAAATTGTACTAATATCGAAAGAAAATGATTCGAAAAAGTTTTGTACAAAAATAAGTGTCGAAATGGTAAAATTTGCTAATAAAAATTATTCCACAGTAAATTTTACTATATTTGTAGTAAATTTCCGTAAAATTTTCTTGATTTCTGCATTCCTTATAAGGAATTATTTAATATAAATATATTTATATTGTATTTTATTTTCTCGTTACAGGCAAGCACTTGGAGAGAATTGCCGATGATAATAATTGCAACGTTAACTTTAATAAATTCAATTCTAATTCTTTTCCTACCTGAAACGACAGGGAAGAATTTACGTCAAACTCTTCAAGATGGAGAGAAGTTTTGCAAGAATAAAAAATTTTGGCCAATTTTTGTCTAGAAATTTATTACAACAGTTGATTGTATAATTAAAAATTTAATTGTTAAATAAATATTTTATAAAAAAATTAAAAATTTTAGTAGAATAAGGATCGATTAAGAATAGTAACAAATAACAAAGAAATTATATTCCTAAAAATTATTTCCAGTTTTCGCGTCTAAAAATACTATTTTTCTATTTATTCTAATTTCTAATTATTCTAATTACACATACAAGGATCAAATTTTGATAAAGAAATTATGAGTTACTTTATTATCAACTTTTAAATTACAGACTTTAGATAACGGTAAATAAGACTGAAATTAATGACTAGTGTGGCATTTGAGAAAAATGTTGTTTTTTACACGTGCTAATAATTACTATTTATTTTTGTTGTTTGATATTATCGGTTGAAACAAGGTGAAATTTTCAATATTGATAAAAATTGAATGTACGTTTTCCTTTTATAATAAAAATAAATTCTTGTTACATCTTTTAGCCATATTTTTGTTGAACAATTTTTATTTGGATTCTTTCCAATAAAATATATTATAATGCTTTTCTATCAATGTATGACTAAAAATAAACTAATTTAATTTTCAAAAATGACTTGAATTTTACATGACTACTTATATGACTCTCATGATTATTCTGATTCTAATACTGATTATTATTTATTCAAAATTATCATTTGCAAGGTTCATACCAATGTTAGCATCAAAGTAGTAGTGAAACAAAATTATTACATAGGAGAAAAAATTTCGAAACTTTATTATATTCTTAAAACATTGTTTTTTTTTTTAATTTTTGAAAAATCATTTGTATTCAAAGGCTTTCTTGACTGTTAATATTTAAATAAAAAATTAAATAAAAATAAATAAAAATAAATAAAAATTAAATAAAAATTAATAAAAGTTAATAAAAATTAATTTTGAAAATTAACTATTAATTATTCTTTTCCTGTAATATTTATTTACGTTTTCAGTATAAAAAAAAATTTTCCGTATTAAACCAAATTAATGATGATTAAAGACGATGACGAGGATAATAACGAGTGTCTAAAAATCGGAAAAGGAAAAAAAAATTTCGAAACTTTTGATGATGTTTTACCTTACATTGGAGATTTGGGAAAATATCAATGGATTTTAATAACAATTTTTCTACCATTTGGTTTGGCATTCATGATAGTATTTTTCTCACAAATATTTATAACCGCTGTGCCACAAAAACACTGGTGTAAAGTCAATGAGTTTATTGATTTTAATTTAACAAAAGAGCAAAGGTATTTTTTCTAATTGTTAACATAAATTAACGAAAGAAACAAAAAATGTTACAATTAAAAAAGAAATTGGTTCAAATAACCGACAAAAATAAATATTTACTTGAAACAAAGAATTTTTAATTAAGTGCAAATTAAATTGTATCTGAATCAATAATTTAAGTTTTTAAGCAAATATATTAATTAAATTTAAATAAAAATTGATTCAAGTAAATATTTATTTGATATAACAAATCGATTATTTCATATAACAAACCGATTATTTGAATCAAATAAATTTTTTCCAGTTATAAATTTAAGAATTTTATTACAGATTTAAACTAGTTATTCCACAAGGAAAATATCCATTTTTTGACAGATGTCATTATAGAAAATATAATTTCCCAAATATTAGTGAAAAATTAGAAGAGAATTATAATTTTTCAAAATGGGAAACAGAAGAAATAATTCAGTGCAATCAATGGGAGTACGATTTTAATGAGATTCCGTACTCCAGCATCGGTACTGAGGTAAAATATAATAATTAATTATTAAAATTGAGAAATTGAAACAAAATTAATATTTAATTAAACAGGGTTGCTACCAAAATTTTATTTTGCTTTTTCCTGACTTTTCACTGATTTGCAGACAAAATTTTGAACTTTTCATGAAGCTAAAGAAAATTATTTATTTTATTATTTATTTTTACTCAAAAAAAAAATGTTCTATTACATTTATTTACGAATTTCTTTCATTGTAATAAATAAATTATTTGAAAAAGTTCTTTGAGAATTTTCAAATCCATTTGTTTAGAATTCAATTTTACAAAATTTCGATTATTTGAAAATTTTTCAATCAAATATATATTAGAAATTAAAAGCTTCAAATAATTTCAAAAACCAATTCAATATTAAACTTTTTCAAAAAAATTAATTCTACAAAATTGTTAGTTAAAAGTATGGAAAATTCGGATTTTCAAAGATTTTAATTTAAAACCTTTTCAAAATTCAATTATTTCTAAAAATTTATGCCTTAATGCTTCTAATATTCAATTATTATCTAAATTTTTAACTAAAAATTCAATTTTTAAACAAATTTTTATTAGAAAATTTTATTCAATTATTTAAATACAAACATAAATAATTTATTAAATAATTGAATGTTTCTTAAAACTTAATTATTTCGACGAATTTTAAAATAATTTTTAAGAATAATTGCTTTTTTTGATGATTCCATTTCAAATTGCATCAAAAATAATTGAAATTCTACGATTAGTTTTATTATTTATAAAAGTAATTGAATTCCTAAAAAGAATTTTATTATTTATGTAAATAATTGAATTCCTGAGTAGATTTTTACATATTTATGAAAATAATTGAATTCTTGCGAAGAATTTTATTACAATTTTTTAAATAATTCAATTCCAGTAAAAAATTGTATTATTTACTATTAATTTATAAAATTTATTGAATTCCTATGAAATATTTATTATTTATAAAAATAATGGAAATTTTGTCAAGAATTTTATTAAAATTTTCTGAAAATAATTGAATTTCTGAGAAAAATTTTGTTATTTGTGAAAATAATTGAATTGTCACGAAGAATTTTTATAAAATATTTTTAGATCTTAATTGATTTTGTTCGAAAAATTGTATTCAAATTCTATTTCAAATAATTGAATTCCTGCGTAACTTTTATTATTTATAAAAATAATTGAATGTTTGAGTGCAATGTTTTCAAGATTTTTTTAAACAAAATGAATTTATTTGATAAGTTTTATGGTAATAGGAGATATTGAAAATCACTGAATTACGAAGAAATTTTGAAAATAATTGAAATTTTGTCAAGAATATTATTACAATTTTTGAAAATAATTAAAACTCGACGAAGAATGTTATTATAATATTTTTTAAATATAATTAAATTCCTTTGGAAAATTTTATTAAAATAATAGATACTAAAAATCATTGAATTGTGAAAAATTTTTAAAAATAATTGAATTTTGCACAGAATTTTATTAAAATTATTTTAAATAATTGAATTACTGCAAAGAATTTTAATACTTTGGAAAAGAATTGAATTCTTGTGATAAATATTTTTATTTATAGAAATAATTGAATTTTCCAAAGAATTCTTATGACAAATTTTTTAATAATCTTTTTCAAAAAATTGAATGCAAATTCTATTTTAAATAATTAAATTCCTATGAAATTTTTATTATGAAAATAATTGAATGTTTGCGTAAAATTTTCCAATTTTTTTTAAAAATAATTTAATGTCAAATTTTAAAATATTTGGTGTTTTCATAAAAGAATTTATGCAAATTCTATTTTAAATAATTGGATTCCAGTGAAATTTTTATTCTTTTGGAAAATAATGAATTGTTTATTGTAGAATATTATCAAAATTTTTGTTTAAGAATTGAATTATTTTGGGAAATTTCATTAAAATAGTAGAATAGTGAAAATCATTGAATAGAGTAAAATTTTTATAACTAATTGAAATTTTGCCATGAATTTTATTAAAATTTAAGAAAATAATTGAAATTTTGCTATGAATTTTATTCAAATTTTTTAAAATAATTGAATTTTATTACTTATGAAAATAATTGAATTCTTATGATGAATATTGTTATTTATGAAAATAATTGAATTTTGCAATGGATTTTATTAAAATTCAATTTTGAATTTTTTGAAAATAGAAATAATGACATTTTAAAAAGTTTTTTAATAATTGTTTCAAATTTCCATACAGTTGAACTGGGTTTGCGACCAAGAATACCTAGTAGCAGCGGCTCAATCAATTTTTTACATTGGTTCGATTTGTGGAAATTTTCTCTTCGGTTGGATCTCCGATCGCTATGGTCGGAAGAAAGGTTTACTTTGTTGCTCAGCAACGGCATTTATTGCTTCAATTGGAACTGCTAACACCCACAATTTTTGGTCCTTCGCTCTTTGCCGATTTTTCATGGGTTTCGCATTTGATAACATTATAAATATTCCTTTGATTATCGGTAAATATTATTTTCACCTTTTTTTTCTTTATCTAGATTTTTTTCCTTTCATCTTAATTATTAAATTTGCCATTATTTCGATTATTTATTCAATTTATAAGACATAAACCATAAAATCCTGGAAGTATTTACAATATTTATTATAGAAAATAAAACTTGAGTTATAAGAAACGAAACTTACTGCTATTATAATTTATAGTTTTGGAATATACGGCAACAAGAAAAAGATCATTAATTGCTTCACTGGGCGTTGGTTTTAATCTCAGTATTGGGGTATTGATATTAACTTGGATTTCATATTTTTCGAGAAATTGGAGAATTTTGGCTTATATAAATTCAGTGCCACTTCTTGTTTGTTTTTTACTCACATTCTTAATGCCAGAAAGCATTCGGTAAGACAATAACAAAAATTACTAAATTTTTGTCTTATAATAAAATTATTTATTTCAATAAATAATAAAATTTATTTTCTTTTTTTAGTTGGTATGTATCCAGAGGAAAGTTTGAAGAAATTAAAAAAAGAATTCGAAGAATATCCGAAGTGAATGGTAAAAATCCGGAATTTAGAATAATTGATTAATTTATTGTAAGTTAATTATTATTATAATAATTAATAATATTTTTCGCCAGAATTTAATTATTTGAAAAGGATTTGAAAGACTTCAATTATTTTTATATTTAGTCAAATTCTTCGCAGGAATTCAATTATTTCCAATACAATTTTAAAAGAGTTTCTCGAAAAAATTCAATTATTTTCAAAAATTTTTAAAAAATACTTCAAAGGAATTCAATTATTTTTAATACAAGTTTAATAAAATTTCACGAAAGAATTAATTAATTTAAACAAATTTTTAATTACATTTTTCTGAAGAATTCAATTATTTTCCAAAATTGTAAAATTCACCACAAGAATTAAAATTAAATTTTTCTAAAAAATTCAATTATTCTTCAAAAAATTAAATTACTTGCAAAATTTTCTATAAAAATTATTAAAAAATATCCCATTATTTTCAAATAATCCAAATAAAATTTTTCAAAACAATTCAAATATTTTTAATAATTATTTAAATAAAATTCTTGGCAAGAATTGAATTACTTCCTAAATTTTTAATAAAATTCTTTGAAAGAATTCGATTATTTTCATAAACTAATAAAATTCTTTGTGAGAATTCAATTATTTTCAATACAATTTTAATAGAATTTCTCGAAAAAATTCAATTATTTTCAAAAAATAATTTTAATAACATTTCACGAATGGATTTAATTATTAAGAAAAACTTTTTAATAATATTTTTTGAGAGAATTTAATTATTTTTTTAAATTGTAAAATTCTCCACAAAAATTGAATTATTTTGATAAATATAATAAAATTTTTTTCCCTTATTTTTAAAAATTGTAATAAAATTTTTCTAAAAAATTCAATTATTTTCATAAGTTTTATTACATTCTTTGAAAATTTCAATTATTTTCCAAAAATAATTGTAAAAAATGACTCCATTATTTTTTTAAATTTTAAAATTCTCCACAAGAATTAAAAGCCTATTTTAATAAATAATCAACTTTTTCTCCTTCATTTTTAAAAGCTGTTAAAAAATTTTTCGAACCAATTCAATTACATATTTTCAAAAGTTTTGATAAAATTCTTTATAAATTTGAATTTTATTTTCAATAGAATTTTAATAAATTTTGTAGAAAGAATTATTGTTTTAAATAATTTTAGATTCAAATTTTTTAGAAATCACTTATTAAAAAATTAATTATTATTTTCAAAACTATTCTTTAATTATTATTATTGTCATTAACTATCGATTAACATTTGCAGTTAAACATAACTTATTTAAAAAATATTGTTGAAAATGCCACTCTCTTCGATTTGAGAAAAACTTCAGCACTTGCGAAAAATTCTCTTCTCTTATCAATCATTTTGTAAGTGGATTTTATTTTTGATTTCTATTTTCTATTTTATTTTCAATTCCATTTTATTTTTAATTTTGACTTTTTCATTTATTCATTAATTATTCATATTCATATTCATTATTCATATTCATTAATTTATTAGTATAAATTAAATCTTGATGAATGAATAAATAATATTAATAATAAATAAAATTAATAATTAAATTCAATGAATGAATTTTATTTTCGATTCCATTTTATTTTTAATTTTGATTTTTTCATTCGTTCATCAAGATTTCATTTATTAGTACAAATTAAATCTTGAAGAATAAATAAATAACATTAATAAAAAATAAAATAAATAAAATTAATAATAAAATTCAATGAATGAATATTGAAAAATAAATTGTTGATAAATTAATATTGATAAATAAAATACTTTCAAAATTATAATAAGATAAACGTTCGTTTGAATATTTAATTTGAACAATAGTTATTATAATATTTTTTTAGAATACTAAATATTTATAATTTCAGCGCAATTTCGTCTTTAATATTAGACGTGAACATCTATTATTTAAATCGTTATAAAATGACTCTCTTTATGTCTTTCACTTGGTTCGCTATTGAAGCATTTCTCTCTAGTTTATTAGTTATAATAACTGCTAATCGATGGGGTCGCAGATTTAGCGGATGTTTGGGTTTATGTTTACTGACAATATTCAGTTTTATATTTATTCTCGTTAAATCAGGTAAAATATATATTATACTTTATAAAAAATTTTCCAAAATTGAAACCAAATTGAAAAAAAAATAGTATTTTCTTTTGAAAACCAAAATACTAATTTTTTTCTTTTATTAATTTTCTTTAACAGAAATAGCAAAAATTATCATGGGATCCTTGAGTCGATTGGTTATGAACAGTATACAATGTTTATTTTGTCTCTACATACCGGAATTTTTTCCCACCACTCTAAGAACCCAGGGAACAGCGTTGGTTCATTTTTTAAGTGTTCTGATGCATTTTCTAGCACCCTATTTATTCTTTTTGGTAAAAATTATATTTTATTATTCAGTTATCAATTTTATTAAATTCTAATTTCTTTTTTGTTTTTTCTTCTCAGGGAAGTACTTGGAGGGAATTACCAATTATAATACTCGCTGTCTTGGGTCTATTGAATTCAATTTTAATTCTTTTTCTACCGGAAACTGCAGGCAAAAGTCTACGACAGACTCTACAGGAGGGGAAGAATTTTTGCAGAGATAAAAAATTTTGGCCCATTTTCATTAAAGTCAATAAGTCGTCTTTTGTTAAAGACAATAGTCTTTAACTCATTGAATTGAATTTACCTTATTGAATCTTCGACTTATTAAATTTTTTATAATAAAAAATCAAAAGCTCGAAAAAATCAATATTTAGACAAGAAATTAATATTTGTCTTGGAATCAAAAGAAAATTTTGATACCAAATTTTTTTTATTGTCATTTGGTATACAATAATATTTCACACACACACACACACATACACGATGTCGAATTCGATAATTAGCATTCATTCCAATACTGTACAAATTAATGAACATTCATTTTTTTTTTTATGCTGACATTTCTATCTACAATTTGTTTACATATTAATATGTTTTGTGTATTTATAATAATAGTTTTCTAAAAATGGTTACTTCTCACCACATTATTAACAAACAAGCAAGAAAGAGTCAATTATTAACATAATCTTTTTTTCTCCTCACAATAAATTCGGCAAGAATTGATTCTCTCTTTGTTTTTAAGATTCTGCGAATCAGTAGTAAGTACGCGAATGATTCTACTTTATTACCTGCTACTTAAAATGGAAAACGATATTTCAAATTGAGCATTATCGAGTACATAAATTGAAATATCGAAAAATTTGTTTCTTTATCTTTGATGATAATAATGGAAAATATGAGCACGATTTTTGTTTTATTTAAACAATCGTATAACGTGTAAATCTGGTTTTCTTTCAATGAAATTTATTTCTTCGATGGCAAAAATTATTTCTTATTTTCATTATTAATTATTATTTTTATTATTAATTTTTAATATATCGTTGAGCAATTATTATTTTGAATTTCTCTTTCATATATTTGTTCTTTAATTTTTCTAACAAACAGATTCGGTTACTTAAAAAATATTAAATTCAAGGCACTTACGAATAGTAAAATGTTAAAAATTTAAATTCTACATTTCTTATTTTCTGATTTGTGAAAATACAGTTTGTTTTGGCAAAGAAAAAATTATTTGCCTTTTTGTCATCTCACAGTATTTCTTTGTTTCTATCACCTTTAATATTTTTTTTCTTCACCTATTGTGAAATAGGTGAATAGGTCAATTATGTAAATCACATACAATTTTTTAATTAAAAAAATTTAAGATCTTCTCATTTTTTTATGAGAAAAAATAAAAATATTTTGACATAATTAAAAAATGACATAATCAATCACAAATTATTTTTGTTTTCGATAATTGAAAACTTGTCAATACTTTCGGAAAATAACAACGATCACTCAGTTCAGCTTCTCTCTCGACTTAACGTCTATGTAAATCACATGAGTGTACTTGAGGAACTATTTACAAAAAAAAAAGAATAGGAAAAATTAGAGAAGATTTTATAATAAATTTTTGTCACTTAGCTACAATCGGGTGGAGTCGATCCTCGATAAACTTCCTGGATTGAAACCAGCATTTGTTGCGCCTAACTTTCTTCTGTATTTCTTCTTTTTTACGTGTGACCTGCAAAATTTTATTATAATCAGTAAAACGTATGATTACGAATCATAATTGTAATTATTAATTATATTTCAAATTTGTAAAAATTATTAAATTTATAAACCTTTTATACGTTCTTCAAAAATTGAAAAAATAATTTATTATTATAAGAAACATTTTTTCGATTCGCAGGCTTCGCACTCAATAATTAATTTTAAAAAAAGTGTCAAATAGTAGCTTTAAGAGTGAATTAAATACTTATAAATAAATAATGTTATCAAAATTATCTAAATAATTGATTTTTTTTCTCAAAATTTTAATAACATTTTTGAAAATAATTACATTTTTCGAGGAATTCATTTAAAATTGTATTAAAAATAATTGAAATCGTGTGAAGAATTTTATTATTTATGAAAATAATTGAATTCTTGCAACGAATTTCAGTAACTTTTTTAAATAATTGAATTTCTGTGAAGAATTTTGGTATTTATGAAAATAATTGAATTCTTGTGATGAATATTGTTATTTATGAAAATAATTGAATTTTGCAAAGAATTTTATTAAAATGCCTCAAAATAATTGAATTTATTTCAATTTATTTCAATTATAAATAATTGAATTCTTTCGAAGAATTATTTATGTAAATAATTGAATTCTTGGAAAAAATTTTATTAAAAATTATTTTAAATTATAGAATTCCTGTAAAACATTTTATTATTTATAAAAATAATTTTATTTTTGCGAAAAATTTTACTATTTATAAAAATAATTCAATACTTGCCAAGAATTTTACTATTTATAAAAACAATTGAATTCTTTTGATGTATTTTTAAAAAATTTTAGAAAGTAATTGAATTCTTTCGAAAAATTTTATTAAAAATTTTTTTAAATAATGCAATTCCTGTGAAAAATTTCTTTTATTTATAAAAATAATTGAATTTTTGCATTGAATTTTAGTAAATTTTTTAAATAATTGAATTTCTATGAAATTTTTTTTTTTATTTACTAAAATAATTGAATTTTTGCAAAGAGTTTATTTAAAAATTTTTTTAAATAATGGAATCTCTTTAAAAAATTTTTTTATTTATGAAAATAATTGAATTTTTGCAAACTTTTTAAATAATTGAATTTTTGTGAAAAATTTTTTTTATTTATTTAAATAATTTAATTTTTTCAACGAATTTTAATAAATTTTTAAAATAATTGAATTTGTGTGAAATTTTTTTTTTATTTATAAAAATAATTGAATTCTTGCAATGAATTTAATTATTTATGAAAATAATTTAATGCTTATAAGCAATTGTTATCAGAATTTTCGAAAATAATTAATTTCTTCCACAGTATTTTAAGTAAATATTTTAAATAATTGATTTCTTTCAAAATTTTTTTTAGAAATTAAATTTCATATAATTAAATTATTGTAAAAATTTTATTAATCATGATATTAATTGAATTTTTGTGAAGTATTTTATTAATGTTTTTTTTAAATAATTGAATTCATTTGAGAAATTTTATTAAAAAAGATTTTGAAAATTACCTTTATTAGTAAAAGAAATTTTTAGAAAATGACCTTTATTAGAAGAAGGAAAATTAGAAAATCACCTTCATTAGAAAAAAGTTTTTTAGAAATTCACTTTTCTTAGAAAACAAATTTTTAGAAAATAAAATATTAGAAAATACATTTTAGAAAAACTTTATCCCAACCGCGAATTTAAATTTTAAAGTAGTTCAAATTTTGGAAAAAAAATACAAAAAATTATCTTTTAGTGTCACAAATTTAAAAAATGTATCCAAATAGTAGCTAATGGTAAAAAAAAGTAGTAAATATAGTAGGTTTTAGTAAATGAGTGCGAAGCCTGGCTTTCCTTTTTTTTTTCTTTCATTTCGCTTAAATTAGTTGAATTAGATTATAGAGAAGGAATTGATAATTTATAACTTACGATGAGAGGCAGGGAATCCACCAAAAGCTTTGTTCTTTGCCAAAGTCATTACCCTCCTCGAGTGATTCCGGAAGATCTTGGTCCAAAGTTTCCGGTAATCCCAGAGTCAAAAGAGCGTCTATTATGGATAAGACGCCCAAACTTATAAGTGGCAGTTCCTCAGCGATATCCGCCTTGAAAAGAGAATTTATCACAATTTTAATTTAATCCCTCAAAATAAATTCAAGTAAAGTTTTATTTTTTATTTTTTTCCCGACATTTCTCTTATTAAAGTTTTATGCTTTTTTTCCTGAACCTCGTGAATATTCTGATTCACTCTAAAAATTATTATAGATACTCAAAAAGATACTCAAAAGAAAAAAGATTCTCAATACATAAATTTCATTATTTAAATATTTATTTCGAAAATAAAAAATTTATACCGGAAAAAATTGTGCTATTAAAAAATGATAATCTGAGATAAACGTTTCATTACCAGATAAATGACATAGGGACCAATGATGTGTGCAAAGTAACCAATGATGTGAATAAGAGATACTCCCTGAGCGCGAACAACTGTCGGTAACATTTCAGCTGCATATTGGAAACCAATGTTTGCAGCAATATTCACGCCAAGTCGAGCCAAAATTGCCATGGCCACTGTTGCGGGACCTAATTTCATAAAACCAATAACATCAAATTTCACATCTCTATATATATCTTTATATAGATACTAAAAATCGAAAAACGCACGCGAAAATATTTACATTCAAAAATATTAGCATTTTATCAGAAAACATTTTTTATTTGTAAAATCCAATTTTTTCACTTCTAAATTAAAAAATGTAAATTCCAAAATTGTAATTTAAAAAAAAAAATCTAAATCACTGATTACATAACTGATTTGAGAAAAATGTTTTCATTAAATTAAAAAACGTAAATTCTAAAATTGCAATTTAAAAAAAAAATCTAAATTACTGATTAAAACGTAAATTCCAAAACTGTAATTTAAGAAAAAATCTAAATTACTGATTAATATCTAAATTTTGGAATTTACGTTTTAATTTAATGAAAACATTTTTATGTTTTCATTAAATTAAAACGTAAATTCCAAAATTGTAATTTAAGAAAAAAATCTAAATTACTGATTAATATCTGAATTTTGGAATTTAAGAAACAAAATCAAAATCACTGATTAAATAACAGATTTGAGAAAAATGTTTTCATTAAATTTTTCGACTTCTTTGTTCTATTGTGATGATGAAATTGTTTTTAATGACTGATCAAAGTTAAAACCGAGAAATTCAAATACCTTCGGGCATAACGACAGCAATAAAGGAGAAAATTCCGCAGATTATCATAGAAAAGAATCCCATCCACCGTCGTCCCCATTTGTCCAGGAACAAAGCAAGTAGAATTGCTGCTGGAAGTTCCGTCATAGAGGCCAAAGAGAAAGACGTAAAAACATCCGGATGAAGTAATTTCATGTTCCAAACATGTCCGTCAAATACCAAAATAATCAAAAGCCTGTAAAAAAGAATATTTATATTAATGAATAATCAGCGTTGCCAAAAAAAAAAGGAATTTTTCTTTTTCCCTGATTTATTATTATTTTATTATTTATGAAAATAAATATTGAAAAAAAAAATGTTCTTTTATATTTAATTGCGAATTCCTTTAAATGTAAAATTATTCAAAAACATCAATAACTTATTTTTTTTTGGCTAAATTCAACGACTCTTATGAATATTCAATTTCTTTATTTGTGTTTTATAATTATTAAAGATTAACTAATTACCTTTTTCAAAAAAAATTAATTCTTCAAAATTGTTAATTAAAAGTACGAAAAATTCAGATTTTCAAAGATTTTAATTTAAAAACCTTTTCAAAATTCAATTATTTCTAAAAATTCATCCCATAATGCTTCTAATATTCAATTATTATTTAAAATTTTAATTAAAATTCATTTTTGAATCAATTTTTATTAGAAAATTCTACGAGAATTCAATTATTTAAAAAAAATTTTATTTAACAATTGAATACTGCTTAAAATTTAATTCTTTCGGTGAACTTTAATAAAATTTTTCCAAATAATTGCATTTTTCGTGGAATTTAATTCTAAAATTAATTCAAAAATTTGAAAAAAAAAATCGAAATTCTGTCAAGAGTTTTAATATTTTTTTTAAATAATTTAATTCTTGTGATGAATATTGTTATTTATGAAAATAATTGAATTTCTGCAAAAAAATGTTATTACTTTTGAAAATAATTGAATTCCTAAAAAGCATTTTAATATATTTAAAAATAATTGAATTTTTGCAAAGAATTTTATTACTTTTGAAAATAATTGAACTTTTTTTATTAAATTTATTTTAAAAAATTTGTTTAAAAAAATTTGGGGAAATTTGATTAAAAATAGCAGATATTAAAAATAATTGAATTGAGAATAATTTTTGAAAATAATTAAAATTTTGATAAGAATTTTATTAAAATTTTTGAACATAATTGAATTTTAGAGTATAATTTTATTATTTTTTAAGATAATTGAAATTTTGACCACAATTACAAAAAAATTTGTTCAACAATTGAATTTCTCTAAAGACTTTTATTACTTTTGAAAATAATTGACTGAAATTCAATTTTAAATAAATTTTCATTTTAAAATTCTACGAGAATTCAATTATTTAAATACAAAAATAAACAATTTATTGAATAATTGAATGTTTCTTAAAATTGAATTCTTTCGACGGATTTTAATAACATTTTTAAAAATAATTTCAAATTGTATAAAAAATAACTGAAATTCTGCGATAAGTTTTATTATTTATAAAAATAATTGAATTGCTAAAAGAATTTTAATATTTATGAAACTAATTGAATCACTTAATAGATTTTTCCTTATTTATGAAAATAATTTAATTCTGGCGAAGAATGTTTTTAAAATTTTTTAAATAATTCAATTACAGTAAAAAAATTTAACAATTTTTGAAAATAATTGCAATATTGACAAGAATTTTATAAAATTTTTTAAAAATAATTGAATTTCTGCGAAGAATTTTAATATTTTTAAAAATAATTGAATTCTTGTGATGAATATATTGTTACTTTAAAAAATAATTGAATCTTTGCAAAGAATTTTATTACTTTTGAAAATAATTGAATTTCTGCAAAGAATGTTTTTAGTTTTGAAAATAATTGAATTTCTGTAATCATTTATAATTTCTTAAAAATTCAATTTTTTTAGTGTTTGTTTTTCTTATGAATTCGAAAAATTTAATTTTTTACAGTACTTTTACTAAAAATCCCTGACTTTTCTGACCAATTTTACTTTTCCTGAGTTTACCCTGATTTACCTGACCAATTTTACTTTTTCCTGGCTTTTCCCTGATTTTTCTGACAAATTTTACTTTTCTTGACTTAATTAATTACCGAAATTACACTCTTTGAACATTAGGTATTGATTAAATTATTCTTTCTCAATGAAAATTAGAGTAAAAAGTAGAGTAAAAATATAAAAATTACATTACCAATAAATAATAAGCATGGCGGTAATTCTTCCCAAACGAGGTAACTTGAAAAGATCAAGAACTGTATATTTATTGTGCTTTTTGTCATTTTGCATCATACTAATGCAACTTTTTTCATATTCGTCATAAACTTCTTGCTTTACAGTCTTCTTATTCACTTTCTCAAACTTCTTGAGCATTTCTATTGATTTGTCGACTTTTCCAACTGTGATATACCACCTGTAGAGAACAGATTGATTGATATTTGAAAAAATAAATTTTTCCTTACTTTATTATTAAAGTAAAAATAGAGAGTATAATATCAATCGTGAAAATTTTCATTAAATTCAAAGTATTACTATATGAATAGTTACTATATATTATTATTGATTATTACTACTGATAACCAGTAATTGTAAAAAGCTCTCTAAAAGATGAAAAAAAAAAATTACCTGGCACTTTCAGGAACTATCCACGGCCCCAAAAAAGCAGTAACTAATGGCAGCGCTGTAACTACACTCAAAGTTCTCCAATCTGCTATCCAATATGCTATCCAGGGTAGCAGACCAGCTGCGGCAGCGAAATATATTCCAAAAGACATATTTGCCACTAAAGTTCTATATTTTGGACCCACATATTCAATTACTGAAATGATACAAAAAAAATTTATCAATAGTAATTTTTAATTACACGTGAAACGATCAATTTTAATTTTTCCAGGAAATTATCATAATTTAATAAAAATAATATAAATTTAATAAATAAATTAATTTAATAAAAATAATTTTATTGAATATTTAAAATATTTTCCTATTAATAGTTATAAATATCCACATTAAAAAAATTATTTAAAAAAAAAAGTTGAATGAATGTAGTAATTTCAAAAAAACTAAAATAAATTTTGATTTTGATATACAAACCAAAAAGAAATTTATAATCAATAACAGACTTCGCACTCGATAATTAATTTTAAAAAAAGTAGCAAAATATAGCTTTCAAACTAGAAAAAAAAGTAGTAAAAAAGTAGCTATCAAAAAATTAAACTTGACGACCAAAAAAACTCGTTTTAGAAACTTCACAAAACTGACAAAAATTCCATTACATATTTTTTATTTTTCCTGACTTTTTTCTTATTTTCATCAAAAATATATATTTACTTCTTTCTCATCCTGCTAATAAATTGAATTTCAGCAACGAATTTTATTATTCATAAAATAATTTTAATATTTATAGAAATAATTTAATTCTTGCGAAGAATTTTATAAAAAATTTCTAAATTGTAATTGATTTTTTTCAACTAATTTTATGCAAATTCTAATTTAAATAATTGAATTCCTGAGAAATTTTTATTATTCATGAAAAGAATTGAATTTTTGCAACGAATTTTAGTAAATTTTTTTTTCTGTTTGGAAATTTTATGAAAATAGTAAATATTGAAAATCATTGAATTGAGGAAACTTTGTAAAAATAATTGAATTTTCAACAAGAATTCTATTAAAATTTTTGAAAATAATTGAATTTTGAAGAAAAATTTTATTATTTATAAAAATAATTGAAATTTTGAAGAGAATTTGATTAAAATGCCTCAAAATAATTGAATTTTCAGGAATAATTTTATTACTTATCGACTTAATTTAATTATTTCGCAGAATTATTTATGTAAACAATTAAATTCTTGGAAAAAATGTTATTAAAATCTAAAAGAATTATTGAATTATTTCAAAAGAATTTAATGAACATTGTATTTAAAATAATTGATTTCTTTCGAACAATTTTATTAAAATATTTGAAAATAATTGAATTCTTGTGAAAAATTCTAATATTTTTGTAAATAATTAAATTCTTCCAAAGTATTTTATAAAAACATTTTTTTAAATAATTGATTTATTAGAAAAATTGAAATTAAATTTTTAAGAATAACTACATTTTTTGAGCAATTTCTGTAAAATTTTGAAAATTTTGAAAATAATTGAATTTTTGCAAAGAAATTTATTGCTTTCGAAAATAATTAAATTTTTATGAAGAATATTGTTATTCATGACAATAATTGAATTTTGCAGAGAATTTTATTATTCGTGAAAATAATTGAATTTTTGCTTTAAAAAAATTTATAAATAATTAAATTCTTCTGAAATATTTATTATTTATGAAAATAATTAAATGTTTGCTTAAAAATTATATTAAAATTTTTTTTAAATAACCGAATTAATTTGAAAAATTTTAGATAGATATTGAAAATCAGTAAATTCAGGAAAAATTTTTGAAAATAATTGAAATTTGACCAAGAATTTTATTAAAATTTTTGAAAATAATTGAATTTCGGAGAAAATTTTTTTTTTTATAAATTTTTGAACTTAATTGAATTTCTGCAAAAAATTCTATAATTTTGGAAAATAATTGAAATCCTTGCGATAAATTTTCTTATTTATGAAAATAATTGAATTATTACGAAATATTTTATTAAAATGTTTAAAAATAATTGAATTTCTGTGAAAAATTTTGTTATTTTTGAAAATAATTGAATTCTTCATGAGAATTTTATATACATTGTTTTAAATAATTAATTTTTCGGAAATATAATAAATATTATGAAAATTTTATTTTAAATAATTGAATTCTTGTGAAAAACTTTATTTGTGAAAATAATTGAATTTATAGAATAATTAATTTAAAATAGTATTAAAAATAATTGAATTCTTGCTTAGAATTTTTATCAAACCTTTTTTTTAAATTTAATTTCCATGAAAAATGTTGATATTAGTGAAATTAATTGAATTATTGTGAAAAATTGTATAAAAATTTTGTTAAATAATTAATTTTTTCGAAATTTTCTTAAAAATGTTATTCGAAAATAATTAAAGTCCTCTGGAAATTTTATTATTTATGAAAATAACTGAATTTTGTATGATTTTTATGAATTTTTTTTAAATAGGTTGAATTCTTTTGCGAAATTTTATGAAAATATTAGATATTGAAAATAATTGAATTTCGAATATTTTTTGAAAATAATTGAATCGTTTTAAAATATTTGATTATAATTTTTGAGAATAGTTTATTGATTTCTAGTATTAACGAATTATTATCAAAAAAAAATTCTCAAAAAAAAAAAAAAACAGAAATAGTAGCTTTTAGTGACTAAAAACTAAAAAAAGTACCCAAATAGCAGCATAACGTAAAAAAAGTAGTAAATAATAGGTTTTAGTAGACGAGTGCGAAGCCTGCAATAAAAAACTCATTAATTATCGAAAATTCTCGAAAATCGTATATAAAAAAAAATGATTAAATCAGAGTTTGTGCTGCTCCAATTCGTCATTTTAATGACAGACCGTTATGTCAACGGTACACATGACACGTCTTGATCGCATTTTGCACCCACGTTTTTTCAAGGTCGATCATAAATTCTAAACATTGATGCAATTTTCCCTTGACACGCGCAAAACGCCAAGAAAAATCAACATGTATTTAAAAAAAAAAAGTGTAACATTATATAAAGCCATAGGATTCAATAGTATTATGCCAATTCTCTCTATGTGTATAATATTTAAATTGATTTCAATAATATATCGTGTAGCTAATCCGTAAGATTCGTTTCAATAATTACATTAATTATCCAAGTCTGCATTTAAATATAACGCTTTAAATATTTATGAGAACTATTCTCTTCGATGAATGAAAAAAGCCAACGGCAAAATGAAAATAGAATTTTTACTTATTATTAAATAGTTCTTTATAATACCTAAATTTTTTTCTATCAAAATAAACCTAAAATCTAACTTTTTTAATAAACCTTTGTAATTTTTTCGAAACATTTTTCTACATCAAAATTTACTTATATCAAAATTCAATTCTAAATCGAAATTCAATTCTATCAAAATAAACCTAAACCTAACATTTTTGATAAACAGGGTTGGAAAAAAAATTTATTTTTGTTTATTCCCTTGACTTTTCCCTGATTTTCAGACAAAATTTTGGATTTTTCCTTGACCTTAAAAAATATTTTGATTCACTCTAAAAATAATTGAATTCTTGGAAAATTGTTATTATTTATAAAAATAATTAAATGTTTGCGTAGAATTTTATTCAATTTTTTTTAAATAATTGAATTCTGTTGGGAAATTGTATTAAAATAGTAGAAATTAAAAATCATTAAATTTAGGAAACTTTTTGAAAATAATTGTAATTTTCTCAAGAATGTTATTCAATTTTTTTTTAAAATAATTGATTTGCGGAGAAGAATTTTATTATTATTCTTGATAAAGATAATTGATATTTTGAAGACAATTTTATAAAATAATTTCAGAACATAATTGAATTTTGGGGAAAAATTTGTTATTTTTAAAAATAATTGAATTTTCAGGAAGAATTTTTATAAAAAATTTTTAAATAATTGATTTTTCCCCGAAAAATTTTATTGCATATTTAATTATAAATAATTGAATTCATATGACATTTTTATTATTTATAAAAATAATTAAATATTTAAGAAGAATTTTATCAAAATCTTTTTTAAATAATTGAATTCTTTTGCGAAAATTTTATTAAAATAGTAAATGTTAAAAATTATTGAATTGAGAAAACTTTTTGAAAATAATTGAAATTTTGACAAGAATTTTCTTAAAATTTTTAAAAATAATTGAATTTCCGCTAAGAATTTTATTACTTTTGAAAATAATTGATTTTCTGCAATTTTTCCAGTACTTTTAATAAAAATTCCTCACTTTCCCCTGATTCCTCTGACTTTTCCCGATTTTCCTGACCTGTGGCAGACCTGATAAACCTTTTTTTATTTTTTTTTTCACACTAATAAAATATAATTAATTTTGTAAAAAGAAAAGTGAATAGAATATGTTGGTGTGTTTGGGGAAATTTGTAAAATTTTCTTAAATTTCAATACCTATGATGAATAAAATGTTGAAACAATTGTCAAATGAAGTTCCAACGATGAGCCTGCAAATTGAAAATGACACGAAGCTGTTGCAGAATGCAGTGGCGATGGAGGCAAAAAATCCGACTGCATTGCAAGAAACCAGAGCTGGAATCCGGCCATAATGATCGGCGATGTATCCGAAAATAAGACCTCCCACAATACTGCCCACAAAAAAGGCAGATTGTGCCGCTGAACCCAGATAAGTATTCTCACATACCCATCCCAACTAAAAATAAATAAATCAATTAGAATCTCCTTTCATTTATTATAAGATAAAATCAATTTTTAATTCTACCTTTTAAATATTTAAATTTCCTTATCAATATATAAATATATATATGACAAATTCGAGAAAAATAAAATTATAAAGATAACAATTTATCAAAATACATTAAAAGTGTTGAATAGAAATAGAAAACTTAATTTCTCTTAATGGAAACAAATTTTGGAATATTTTGAGAATTAGCATAAATTAACACAAAATTAACACACAAATTATGGTGGAAAAAAATTTATTTTATTTAAGTAAACGATTACTACTCTATTATTAATTGAAAATATTTACTAATAATTTTTATTTATTCAAATAAATTCAAACTCAATTAAATTGTTTTTGAATCAATAATTTAAATCGAATAAATTAAATTTAAACCAAATAATTTTTATTTAAATCAAATAACTTTTATTTAAATCAAATAAATTACAATTTATTCGATTTAAATAAAAATTATTTGGTTGAAAAAATTATTATCAAAAATTATATGAATCAAATATTTAAAGAAAAAATTATTTGAACAAAAAATTTAATTTAATTTAAGTAATCGATTATTTGTAACAAATAAATTTTTTTCAGTATATGTAATTAATTGTTTAAATAATGAAATTGAAATTAATTTCAATACTATACTCAGAAAAAAATTATAGAAGGTTAAAAAAAAGTAAATTTTAAAAATACTGTGAATAATGCAATTTTATGCGAAATTATTAAAAAATAATCGATTCTAATAAAATTTTGCAAAAACAGTGAAAATTTTCTTCCGTGTTATCTAGTAAATCTCTCACCGTAGAAGCAATATGAAGAGCCTCCTATGTGCTTGTAAATCAAATTAATTGCGAATTATGAGATAATATATGACTAAGGAGAATAATAAAATTATATGGTTAAATGAGTCGTTAAACTAATGACATTTTAGAGTTTAAAAGACTAAGTATAATCAACTTTCAAATTCTCAAACTATTTATATTCTACTTTTTTTTATCTTAGTAATAATTCGAAAATTTTAACAATTATTTTTTGAAAAATTCAATTAGTTTCGAAACATTTTTACAATTTTTTTTTACAATTGTCTACAATACCAATTTTTTATTTTATTCCTTTTTGGAATTCAATTATCCTCAATAATTTTTAATTAGATTTTTTCAGAATTTCTAAATTTTGATTATTCAAAAATCTTTCAAAAACTTATTTTTTTAAGAATTTCTAAATTCAATTTTAAAAAAATTTTTCAAAAACCTAATTTTTTGAGAATTTTTAAATTAAATTATTCAAAAACCAAATTTTTTTCAAAATTCTAAATTCAATTATTCAAATATTTTTCAATAACCTAATTTATTCCGAAATTCTAAATTCAATTATTCAAAAATTTTTCAAAATCCTAATTTTTTTAGAAATTCTAAATTTAATTATTTAAAAACGTAATTTTTTCAGTAATTCTGATTTTAATTCTCAAATTCTAAATTTAATTATACAAACATTCTTAAAAAACCTAATTTTTTTAGAATTTCTAAATTCAATTTTTAAAAAAATTTTTTAAAAACCTAATTTTTTGAGAATTTCTAAATTCAATTATTCAAAAAATTTTCAAAATCCTAATTTTTCCAGAAATTTTTAATTCAATTTTTTCAGTAATTCTCAATTCAATTCAAAAATTTTAAATTCAATTACACAAAAAATTTTTCAAAAACCTATTTTTTTAGAAATTCTAAATTCAATTATTCAAAAACAATTTTGTAAATTCAATTATTCATAACTCATTTTTTCAGAAATTTTAAATTCAATTATTCAAAAACATAATTTTTTCAAAAATTCTAAATTTAATTATTCAAAAAAAGTATAAGATAGTTCGCCTGAAAAATAATTTACAATAATTTTTCTCAACTTTTTTCTACAATTTTTTTAATTAAAATATATTTTTAACATAATTTTGAAAATTCAATTATTCAAAATAAAGAAATTTCACTTAAAATCACGTCTAAAATTCAATTGTTTTCCATTCCATTTTACAAAATTTCGATTATTCAAAACTTTTTCAATTATTTTTTATACAAATCACAAAAATTTTATTTTGTATTTCCCTGAACTTCCAATGATTTAAAAATTCAATTATTCAAACTTTAATAGTTTTGTTAAATAAATATTTTTAAATACCTTCTAAAATTTAATAATGTCTAAAAATTACAACTATAACTGACCATATTTTATTTTTAAAATTATTAAGATACCTATAATATTTTCAAAAAAATTGTAAAAAAAAGAGATTCGTAAAATTAATATTTTAAAAAATTTTTTGAAATATAAGTTTTTCAATTATGTAGAATTGAAAAATTTGCAAAAAATTGAAATTTGGTAAAATCTTCTAAAAATAATTGAATTTTTGAAAAATATAAAAAAACAATAATCAAATTTTTGAAGAATTTTAATTATAAATAATTGATAATGATTTCTCTGAAATTTTAATAAGTTTAAAAAAGTAAATTTTAAAAAATTCTAATTTACATTGTTCAAAGAATTAAAACCTCAAAAATTATGATAAAACAATTCTAAGAATTAGTTTTTTAAAAATATTGTAATATAATTCTTCGAAAATAACTGAATTTTTGTTATAATTTAAAAAAACCAATTCATTGTTTTGTAATTTTTTAAGAATTTTAATTAAAATTGTTGAACTACAAAATGTTAAATTAAATTTCACAAAATATCAATTAATAAAAATTAAAAATCTTTTTAATTGCATACTTTCAAAAATGTAATTAGAAAAATTATTGAAAAATAATTTTTGAAAGATTTGTCTATTGTTATATTTTTCACGCTATAAAAATCGAAATAAATTGCATTTTATTTTAAAAATGTGGTATTTTTTTTTTTTTTTTTTTGCAATATATTTAGAAGAAAAGTCGAAAACGTCGACAATTATTTAAAAATTGAATTTATACCTCGGCAGCAATTGATTTATATGGAATCATGACTTGACTAAAATACCATCCATTTTGGCAGGGTCCTTTAGGCCACGATGGATCTGCCTGTGTTACATTGCCCGAAAGTAAAACCTCCTTATAATCGACAATATACATTTTACATCTAGAGAATTGAATATTATTCGCTCTAACTTCATTTTCATCTGCTCTCGGCAGCCAAAGTGAAGTCCTAGAAAAATAAATGTCACCATTATTTTACTCCTTTCGTTAATTCATTTCAGTGCTCATTAAAAAAAAAAAAAAAAACCAAAAAAAAATTAGAAACTAAACAGTAGAATTTTTATAGTAAAACAAAAATATCGTTTCGCGAACAATTTTTTTTTCATCACACAAAAAGGGAAATTCTTAATTAAAAAAAATATGCAAAAAGAATTCTAATAAAATTGAAATTAAAAAATTAAAATTAAAAACAAAAATTAAAATTGCAATTACAATTAAAATTAAAAACAAAAATTAAAATTAAAATTAAAAACAAAAATGAAAACTAAAATTAAAGACTAAAAATCAAAATTAAAAACAAAAATAAAAATTAAAAATAAAAATTAGTTACTAAAATTAAAAATTTTATTAATTAAGAACTAATTAATAAAATCAAAAATTAAAAATTAAAATTAGAAATAACAATTAAAAACAAAAATTAATAAAAATTAGTTATACTAAAATTGAAAATATAAACTATTAAAAAATAATAATAAAAACAAAGAAGGCGAAGAATAAAAATAGTTGTTTATTTCATAAAAACAGAAACGATAAATGAATTTTTTATTTCTCCCCTGTCTTTAAATGAATGTTCAGAGTGAAGTTCAAGAAAATCGTAAAATGCATTACGGCGCACATAAATTGAATCGTTAGTGTATTGAAAGTAAATGTTGAGGTAAAAAAAAGACTATATTTTTACGATATTTGTACTTCTCAGAAAATAAATTTAGTGCAATTAAAAATGATATCATAAAATACATCTCGCTGCAATTTATTTATCTGAAATTAACGTGCCAGTCTAATTAACTATTATTAAGTGCTTCTTTATCATTCTTAATTATTAGGCAATCGTATTAACAGTTTTAATATTTAATAAGAAATTCATCCTCCAAATACCACTCAATCTAATAAATTATTTATTACACTAATAATTCAAAATTACTGCGCCACATCAGCACTGCACTATAATTGATAATCATGCAAATAAATTCCATTGTTCAAAATTAAAATTCTTTTTTTTTTATAGTAATTATTTAATAAATCATTTAAAAAAATTTTTTGTTTACTATAGTAATTATTCAATTAATCCTTTTTTTAATTATTTATTTTTTAAAATTTTTCAATTATTATTAATTTATTACAGTAATTATTTAATTAATCATTTTTTTTATAAGGAAACGTTCATAAAGTATTTTTATTTCATTTATTTACATTTTTCACTTCATTAAAATTTTTAAATTTCCATAAAACGGATAGAGTGAGAAAAAATTCTCATAAAAATTTCCAATTTTTTAAATGAAAAAAAAATTGATTTTAGAAAGAAAAAAAAAATTCTTTTTCAAAAATACATAATATAAGGAAATGAATAACTTATGCAATGCTTAATTTACTTTTAATTCATATACGATTCTTTAAATTATTATTCATAAAGTCGAGAAATAAAACCAGTTGGAAGGAAAATGATAATTTTATTTTTTTTTTCCTATGCGGAGGATAAAAATTCTACTGTTAATAAAGAAATTCATATTCATTACTTCATTAAATCCGAACCATCTACATGTGCGCAAGAAAGTAATTTGATACATTGCAACATTGTTTTAGTTAAAAAATTGAGAATCAAAAAATTTTTTTAATACTACAAAAGAAACGTATTAATAATTTCATTCGAATTCAAATCTAAAGTGAGAATTTTAGTTTATTTTCTTGCATATTTTTCTATATAGGTAATAGAATTTTTACTCTTATTTCCAATTTTTTATTTTACTTTTTTATTTTATTGAGACAAAAAGTGTATCAAAAAAAAAACTTTGCTTCGCAATTATTTTGATATGTTTTTTGTCTCAATTTTATATCCTTAGATAAACAGTGTTATTTATTTATTTTTTTATTCATTTTTTATTTTTTAAATTTTATTATTTATTTTTTTATTCGTTTTTGATTTTTAAAATTTTATTATTTATTTTTTTATTCATTTTTTCTTCTTTTAATTTTATTTTATTTTTTGTGTTTATACGTTTTTACTAGTAAATAGTTAATACAAATAACGGATAAAAAATTCAAAGATACACTGAAAAAAATTCGGTCGAAATCTTTAACTACTATTACCTAGTTGAGTTGAAAGTTGTCAAATTAATTACTTTTTTAGTTTTACTAACAATTTTTGTGTAGTTGATTTTACTACTTTGAATATAGTTGAAGAATAATAGTTTATATAACTAAAAAAAGTAGTTAAATTGCAAAAACAACTACAAAATCTAATTACATCAACTAAATTCTTAGTTCTTTTTACTACTTTCGGTAGTAAATATAAATTTTTAAATTCAGTTGAGGACCTATTGAATCACTCAGGGTAGTTAAAAAGTAGTCAAATCTACTAGTTTTTTTTTTGAGTGTATGTATTAAAAAACAAAAAAATTTCTCATTTATAAAACTTGATTCAAAAGAAAAAAAAATCAAGAAGAAGTAAACATAGTTTTTTATAAAAATTTCATTTTTTCATTGATTTCTTTTTAAAAAATATTTTGACCTATTTGATTATCCTAGACAAGGTTGCTTAGTAATCTATAACGGACGAACAAAAAAACCAGTGAAAAAAATCACGTAATTGTCACATTGTCATATAAGAATCAACTGTGGATTTTCTTCCTCGACCTTCTCTCGTCAAATATATATTAATTTTTTCTCTATAACGCGTTTTTATAGTTTTTACTTCTTCTTCTTCTTGTTCTTCTTTATTTCAGTATTAATTACCGTTAGTTTTAATATACATGCCAATAAGGAAACAAATACTCTTTGTTGTACTATATTTTCAAAAAGTAAAATAAAAATTTTTTAATTTAAAAATTTTAAATTTAATTTAAATTTTTCTGTTATTTGAGTTTCAATATTTCATTTGAATAGTCTTTTTTTACGCAGAGAAAAATGATTTATTAAATGTAATTAACTATTTTCCGTTTAAAACAAGTCCTTTAATGCGATTTAAAAAAAAATTAGTTTTATTGTGAAAAGAAATCTTTTAAATTTTAATCTTAAAAAATTGTTTAAAACAATTCTAGGAATTAGTTTTTTTTTTAAATTTTAAATTTTCTAAAGAATTTTAATTAAAAATTTCCAAGATTTTAGTTTTCTCCAAAATATTAAAAATAATTGAAAAATATTTTAATATTATTTTTGTACCTATTTATTTGATTTTTGAAAATATGTAATTGAAAATATTAAAAATAATTGAATTATAAAAAATTAGAAAGGGGAAAACTCGAAGAATTACTTTTTTCAAAAATATTTTCACATAATTATCTTCAATATCTTAAATATATAAATAATTTTTAGAAGATAATTTTCACTAATTTTTATTTTTAAATTTACACTAGAAGATTTATCATTAAAATTTTTTGAAAATTCAATTATTCATTCAAGATTTAAAATGAAAATTCTTCAAAGGCTGATTTTCAAAAATTTTAATAAAATTCTTGAGAAAATCAATTATTTTCAATTAAATTTTATAAAATTTCAATTATTTAAAAATTATTATTATTATTATTGTTGTTATTATTATTATTCCAAAATAATTTTTGAAAGATTATTTTCTTTTTAAAAAACGTTATTGAATTTTCGAAAATATGTAATTAAAAATACTGAAAATAATTGAATTTTTAAAAATTAGAATGAAAAAATTCGAAGAATTACTTATTTCAAAAATATTTTAACATAAATTTTAGAAGCTAATTTTCATTAATTTTCATGTTTCTAAACATTTAAAAAATTAGAATGAAAATAAAAAATATTGCGAAGCAACATTTTGATTCGTTTTTTGACTCAATTTGATATTCTTAGAAAAACTGTGATTTTATTTAAATAGTAAATTTATTTTAATTAAGTAATCATTTTTTTTTTATTTAAATAGTCATTTTATTTCATTTAATATAGTCACCGTATTTAAATTTTCTTTCATTAAATAGTAAATTTCTTTAATTTTGGTTTAAATAGTAAAAAAATTTTTTTTTTTATTCCAAATTATAAATATTGAAGAATAATGAAGAATAGGGTGTTTTCTCACCGCACTCACTCACATCTCGTCTTCCGTGATATTTAATTTCAGCAGTTCAGGAATTTCGCACCAATGTTCCTCGGGAACGAGGGTGATGAAAAATTGAGCAAAATAGAGAAAGGCATAGACGAAAGTGAAGGGTAGTAAAATGACGAAGAGCAACCATTGATACCGACCTGCTTCACCAACATACGGCAAAATATCATCAAAAGTTTCAATTTTTGGTCGCGGTTGCTCTCCCCCTTCTTCCGCTTTCGATGACTCCGTTGCCACCGTCATTTTCACTCCTAAAAAATATTCACAAAATCTCAATTTTTTATATTAAATTTATTTATTTTATTAATTATTTTATTTATTTAATTTATTATTATCTGTATTTTTTATTTTATAAAATCATAATTTTTTACTCTTCAGTTAAATTCTTCTTCTTCTTCTTCAAAAAAAAAAAAAAATCAATCGACAAAAATTTATAATTATTATAAATGATACGCAGGAAAAAAATTTATTTTATCAAATAAATATTTGATTCAATAAAATAATTTTTTATTTAACTCAACAAGTAGTATTTGCATCAAATATTTAAATTATTGATTCAAAAACAAATTAATTGAATTTAAATTTATTTCAATAAAAAAAATTAAATAAATAAAATTAAATAAATGAAATTAGATAAATTAAAGTAAATAAATTAAATTATTTGATACCTACAAGTAAATATTTATTTAATAACAGACAAGTACCTAATTGTTTTTTTAATCAAATAAATTTTCATTTGATTTTTATTTTTATTTCAAATAATTTTTTTTTAATTAAACATTCATGAGTTAAACTAGAAACATTTACAAATTATACTTTTGACGATTGATAAATTTTTAATGAAGTTAATCGAAGAGAATGTTAAATTTAAAAAAATCATCATTTTAAAAATAAAAATTTTGTTATTACTGTCATTTTCTGGAAGGAAAATTATTAATTTTCAAAAATTAAATTCAAAAAAAAAAAAAATTTAAACCTAGAGAATTTATTAATTAGAGAATTACAGAATTGTTTATACAATTTGTAGATTTAATAAAAAATTTTCTTTTGTATCGCTTCTTTCGAATTTTTTTTTAATGATTCGATTTTAATAAAAAATGTCTCATTTTCTTAAGAAAATAATTCTTTATAATTTTATTGTAAGAATGTTTTTTAAACAAGTTTTGAAAATAATATTTGTTTAAAAATAAGTCAACATTTTCATTCAAACAAATATTTTGAAAATATTTGAAAATAAATATTTTAAACAAAACGAAAAATTTTATTTAAAAATTCTTACTATGGAGTTGTAGGGAATCATTTTCTTTTGAAATTAAAGAATTTTTATTCAATTATAAATTTTGTTTAAAAATTCGTACTATAAAGTTGTGAGGAATCATTTTTTTTTTAAATTAAGATATTTTAGATTAAAATTTTATTAAAATCAAACCAATTTAAAAAAAATTCTATGGAAGTAAAATGTCAGAATTTTTTTACATTGAAAAAAATTTATTTCATTCAAATATAACCGTTTACTTGTATATTATAAAATAAATATTTATTTCAATCAAACAATTTTTAATTGAGACAATTAAATTGTATTTGCTTCAAATACTCTAATAAATAATTAGTTCGAATACAATTTATTTTAATGGAAATATTTTTATTTTAATCAAATAAATTTATTTGAGTCAAATTATTTTTATTTTAATCAAATAAATTAATTTGAATCAAATTATTTTTATTTCAATCAAATTATATTATTTCAATAAAATAAATTTATTTGATTAAAATTAAAATACTTCGACTCACAAGTAAAAATAATTTGATTCAAGGAAAAATAATTTGATTCAAGTAAAAATAATTTTAGTCAAGGAAAAATAGTTTGATTTCAGAAAAAAAAATCTGAATCAAGAAAAAATAATTTGATTCAAGTATATATTTACTTGAGAATAGACAACCAATCGATTATTTCAATAAAATAAATGTTTTCTCTAATATATGTAAAATAAAAGAAATTTTTTGGTTTTAAAATTTCTTTTCTTAAAAATAAATATTTTTTCTCTTCTAGAAAATACTAATAATAATAATATTTTAATTGTTTAAATGTTAAATAATTATTTTTTTACAGTTCGACTTTCTCTTCGATGAACCTCTTTAATCAACATTAAATTACCTTACGCTTACATAATTGAAAAACAATAACAAAAGATCGTAATTAAAAATATTTAATTATACTTTATTGACAGTATTGATTATTTATAGAGTAAAGATTTTTTTTCTCATTTTTTCCTATTTTTTATTTATTTTATTTTTTATTAATTTTTTTTTATTTATTATTGACAATTGATTATCATTCTAATTATACACACATATCTCAATAAATAAATAAATTTATTTATTTATAGAACAATAAACAAATTTTTCATTTTACGATTTTTCTTTTACGATTTGAACAATAGATCGAAAAAAATATTAAAGTCAATGTATAAACAAAGAAATAAGTAGATAACTTTATTATGAGAGCGGAATTGTAAATCCCGCTTATTGTAAATAAATAAAGAAAAAAGTTGAGGAATTTTTTTTATATAAACATAGAATATGTTGTGATATTGTTGTTAAAAGAAATAATTAGGTATAAATAATTCATTTTTTAAATAATAGAGTTCTTTACAGTTACTTAACAATTAATTTCTTAAGAATATATATTAATTAAAATGATAAATATTCAAGAAATCAAGGTTGAGAATAGGCATTATAAACAATGATTCCATTTATATAAAATTCTTTCAGCGAGTAATTGCATTCGCCGATAGAAAAAAAAAGTATTTAAAAAATAATCATTGTCGTTTAAAACTGATAAATGACTCTAATTGAGTTCCTTAGATTCAACCACTATTTAGTTGAATTGAATTGCAAAAATAAACACTTTTCTTTGTATCAAAATTTAAGTTATAAACAATGAAAAATTAAAAAAATAATAAAATAAAGCAATTTTAATTTTCACATAAAGATCAGTCTTTCTTTTATGTCACTTAAATTATTTTTTTGAAATTCAAATTCGTATCGGTTTCATTTTTTAATAAAACTAAATTTTAGTTTATCCTCCAACTAAATTTTTGAGAAAAAAGAATTATTGCACTGAAAAAAATTTGATTCAAATTCAAATCAAAAAAATTTATTCAAATAAATGATTTAATTTTCTATTAAATAAATATTTATTTTTAGTAAAAATTTATATTTCAATCAAATGGTATTTGCTTCAAATGCCGAAATAATTGGTTTAAATAAAATTTATTTGATTTTAATAAAAATTATTTATTTCAAGTAAATATTTATTTGACAACAGACATTAATTAAAATTTTTACTTTAATAATTTATTTGATTGAAATAAAAATTATTGGACTCAAAGTAAATATTTATTTGACAATAGACAATCAATCTGTTAACTGAAATTTTTAATTCAAAAATTTATTTGATTTAAATAAAAATTATTTTACTCAAGTAAATATTTATTTGACAATAGACAATAAATCTGTTAATTAAAATTTTTACTTTACAAATTTGTTTGATTGAAATAAAAATTATTGGACTCAAGAAAATATTTATTTGACAATAGACAATGAATCTGCTAATTGAAATCTTTACTCCAAAAATTTATTTGATTGAAATAAAAATTATTGGACTCAAAGTAAATATTTATTTGACAATAGACAATCAGTTAATAGAAATTTTTACTCCAAAAATTTATTTGATTGAAATAAAAATTATTGGACTCAAGTAAATATTTATTTGACAATAGACAATCAGTTAATAAAAATTTTTACTCCAAAAATTTATTTGATTGAAATAAAAATTATTGGACTCAAGTAAATATTTATTTGACAATACACAATCAGTTAATTGAAATTTTTACTCCAAAAATTTATTTGATTGAAATAAAAATTATTGGACTCAAGTAAATAATTGTTTGAGAAATAAATTAACTAAATAGTAATTGCAACAAATTGATATTAAAAATATGGATGAATAAAAAAATTGATCTAAATTTTTGGCATCAATTTAGTATCACTTTGATACAATCAAAGTAAAGAAATCAAGAATCAAAAAAATAACCTGTTAATTGAATCAAAAATTCGTTTCAGTCTCAAGTTAATAAAAAAAAAACCAAATTCATCAATTTCCAAATACTCACACTCAAAAAAGAGAGAAATAAATCCAAATTATTCAGGAAAAAAGACAATAACTTTTTCACATAAAGATTCACTGAATCTTGAAGACAATATCACTCTGGACCATAAACTTAAGTGTTCGGGAAAAATATCACTAAGAATTAAAAAAAAAAATCTAAAACACACTTTTTATCGAGAATAAAAAAACTAGTTAAAACTATTTCAGCATTATTTGCAAAAAAAAAAAATTATAAAGAAAAAAAAAATCGGCAACTAATGGACCGCGAATTGAGGAAGATTATAATAGAGAGTATAAGAGCACGTGCTCGTTTTGAAGATCAAGATCTTGGATCGAACCGATTTTGGGGGATCACGCTACATCGTCAGACAGAAGGGGACATCGACTGCTTTCAGTATTAATCAATGGTGGGGCTTTATACTCTTGTTCAACAACCGAGCCCCCACCTGATGATCGGTGACCCTCCATTGGTTCACGCATTGCACTCGATCTTCTCTCAGACTTCAAATGACGTCACTTGGAAATCTTGCAGCACCTCTTTTTTAAAAACCGTTCATCGACATTTTTTTTTCTCTCTCTCCTCTTATTCCGCTATTTTTCCTCTTATAAACTGGGATTTCCACACACCTTTGCAAAAATTCATCATTTAAAAATCGAGTCAGCTAATTATTCCTATAATGTCACATTTTCCTTTAATACTTTATTCCTTTTTTCCTTATTTGTTAACGTGTTCGTACTAATTTGTTCATTTTTATCTACTTAGAAACTCATTTGATTAATTTAATCATTAATCATTAAAATTAATTGAATCATTAATTTTTTATTATTATATATTGCGAATTAAATATTTTCTTTTTTTGAATTTCGCGCCAATGTGGTTCCTTAAATAGCCGCCTAGACGGCGTGAAAATTCTCTCACAAACGAGATGAAGTGAATACGACTTTTTCGACCTATTTTTAAAAATTTGTGACTTTTTCCACTTTTCTTGACTTTTACGATATATTTTTAAAAAATTGCGACTTTTCCACTTTTTTCCAAATAGCAACAAAATACTATAGATTTTTAATATTGTATGCGACTTATTTCGATATTTATAGTGCAAAAAATAATTAGACAAATGTTTCAATATTAATTTTTGAATATTTTATTAAAGATAATTTTTTTTTAAATATACCTACACAGATTTCATACACGATAATAATAATAATAATAATTAATTTTAAAAAAGTAGAGAAAAGTAGCTTTAAAATTAAACTTGATTATTCAACTTTTTTAACAATTTTCAAATTAAATCAGAATCAAAAATAAAATAATTTTGTTTAAATAAATATTTAAATAACCTATTTATTTTCACACAGGAATTAAAATATTTTAAATTATTTTCAAATATAAAGCCTTTTTGAAATTGAACTATATTTCTAAAAATTACAACTATGTAATTCAATTCAATCAATTTTCTGTTGAAATTTTTAAATACAATTCTTCAAAACTTTAATCATTTTATTTAAAAATAAAAAGTTCCCCACAAAAATATTTTATTAATACTTCTGAAAATATAATTGAATTCAAACGAAAAATTTTATTACAATTTGTTTAAATAATTGAATTGTTGAGAGAAACTTTATTATTTATGTATAATACGAATTTAATTTTGGCAAAGAATTTTATTAAAAAATTTTGACAATAATAATTCAATTTTTTTGAAAAATGTTATTAAAAATTTTCGAAATATTACAATTCTTTCCAGAATTTCATTACAATTTTTAAAAATAACAGAATTCTTTCAAGAAATTTTGTAGATATTGTACTGAAAATAATTGAATTTGAGCGAATAAATTTATTAAAATTTTTGAAAATAATTGAATTCTTTCGATGAATTCAATTAAAATTTTATTGAAAATTTATTTCAAAATAAAATTTTAAATCTTATTATTCAAATTTTACAACAATTAAAATTATCAAAGATTTCAATTCAAATTATCTTTTGAAATTTAATTATTTTTAAAAAGTCACATTGTATATCGTTTTTAATATCCAATTATTATTATATACTAAATTTTAACTGAAATTCAATTTTCAATCAATTCTTCTTCAAAATTTCGAAATTTTCAAAAATTTAATTACTTAAAAACAAAAATAAAAAATTTATTGAATAATTGAATATTTCTTAAAATTGAATTCTTATAAACAGCTTTATAATAAATTTTTTTAAATAATTGAATTTCCATAAAATTCTTCGATTTTTCGGGGAATTTATCTAAAATTGTATTAAAAATAATTGAAATTCTACGATATTTTTTAATATTTATAAAAATAATAAAATTCTTGCGTAGAGTTTTAAACAAATTTTTTAAAATAATTTATTTTGTTCGAAAATTTTTATAAAAATTGCATTTTGAATAACAATTCAAGTGAAAATTTTATTATTTATAAATATAATTGAATTTCTACGAAGGAATTTTTTTGAAATTAGATTTAAAAGACATAATTGAATTTTTCTAAAGTATTTTATTATTTATAAAAATAATTGAATATTTCTTAAAATTGAATTTTTATAAACAGCTTTATCACAATTTTTTTTAAAATAATTAAATTCTTTCAACGAATTTTAATAAAATTTTTAAGAAGAATTCATTTTAAATTGTAATAAAAATAATTGAAATCATGCGATGAGTTTTATTATTTATGAAAATAATTTAATTCTCTTAAAGAATTTTATAAAAATCTTTTGAAATAATTGATTTTTTCGATAGATTTTATGAAAATTTTGTTTTAAATAATTAAATTCCTGTGAAAATTTTATTCTTTATGAAAATAATAGAATGTTAGCAAAGAATTTTATAAAAAAAATTTTTAAATAATTGTATTCTTGTGAAGTAAATTTTTTATTAAAAGTGTAAATATTGAAAATAATTGAATTTCGAAAAATTTTTGAAAATCAACTTTTGAGAAATTCTAATTGCAAATTTTAAAAATACTAAAAAAATAAAATTATTTAAAAATATTTAAAAAAATTAGTTTTAAGAATTTCTTTATTATAATTTTTGAAAATATGATGTCGTAATAACTTTAAGAAAACGGACAGTTACAGTTACAATTATTAAAAAAAAATTGAATTTTTGCATTATTATAAATAATTGAATTCTCAAAGAGCTTTCGAAAAATTATTAAAAATATTTCATTTAGAGATGAAGTTTAGTTAAAAATTGTAGAAAATAATTGAATTTTGGAAGGGTTACGATTGTAATTTTTAAAAATTATTAAATTTGATAAGGTTTTAAATTTAAATTTTTTAAATTTTATTTCCAGTGGAAAAACAAATAAGAAATAAATATTGATTTAACAAAATTATTCAATTCAGATAAAAAATAAAAAAAGAAATAAAAATCAGTTAATAAATACAAAAAAAATACTTTCTCTATGAGGGAAGCAGTACGTAAAATTACGCCAATTTTTCATTTCGGTTTAATAAAACTCAAGTCTTAAATCCAATATATCGTTAAAAAAAAGAAAAAATATTTATATACAATAAATTAACGATAAAAAATGATACATCATTTATAATAAAATAATTTGCTATTTACGTACCATATTCATCGTTTTATAAAGAAAATCTCCACATTACAAACAATATATATAGAAAATGTTTTGAAAATATATATGTTCATAGAATAATTTCGTATTCCTGTCATATGAAAAGCTTTTGATGTACATGTGTCTACTGAATAGGAGTCATTAGCTTTTATCGCAGAAGGTCCAAAACTTTCTCATTCTAACATATATCTAATTTGATCCAAAGAATGTAATAATTTTATTTATTCATATTTTATTTATTCCCCTTTTTTCACATTTATTTACTATAATACAAATATTTTTCTCTCTAAAATAATTTCTCATCGCAAGATAGTTCAATAAATTCAAATGTATAAAATATTGAATTTAATTTCTCAATTTGATTGTCAACGGTAATAAAAAAAATTAATCTTGCACATAATATATGAAAATTTTCAATAATAATAATAAATTTGCAATAAATTTTCAATAAATTTTCAATATAATATTGATAATAATAATTATTTTTCAGAATAAAACTGAAAATGTCAGTTGAATTATTATTCATGTGACATTTCAGTTTTTCCTATTATTTAATAATTTTTTTTCTCTCATAATGTAAAAGAGCAATGAGGATGCTGATAGATTATGCATTAAATATCATGATTTGATATGCTCTTGATAATTATTTCCATGCATATGCATGGAAAACAATTGAAAAATGTATGATCAACAAGTGCAGATACAAAAAAAAAAATTATTCAGTTTGGACCAGTAAAAAAAAATAAAAGGAGTATTTATTCATTCGAGACGTTCCGTAAATCAGCTGTTATTATTTAATAGGTTCTTGTCAATCGGGTTTCTTTTAAATTAACATTTAAAACATCTAAAATCACTTCCTTTTTTCCTCTTCTAATCAAATAGTCTGTTTAATACAAGAGACAGATAAAATTTCAATTTACGTCCATTGTAAAATTTACAATCATTATTTTGATTAAAATGTTACTTTTTTTAATTGATTTTAAAGATACACTAAAAAAAAAAATTTATTTGATTCAAATAACCGACTAATTGACTATTAAATTAATTACCAATTAAATATTTACTTGAATCAAATAGTATTTATTGGAGTCAATTAAATGGTATTTAAAATTTAAATCAATATTTGAAAAGTATTTGAAAATTATTTGAAAAGTATTTGAAGCAAATATGAAGTGAACCATTTAATTAACTCCAATAAATATGATTTGATTCAATTAAATATTTAATTGATAATAGTCAAGTATTCAGTTATTTGAATCAAAGACATTTTTTTTCAGTGTAAGAAAAGCGAAATTCAAAAAAAAAAAAAAAGAATTTGATTACCTATTATTATTATTAATATTTTATATATTTTTAAAATTATTTTTCTATATTAGAAAATATATGCTCAATTGAGCAGAAAGCAGGCAGAAAGGAGGGAAAAAAGTCTAGAGGAGTTGACATAGAATAAGAGAGGTAGAAAGTATAACAAAAAGTTTTGCAATAAGGAAGAATAAGAAGTTTTGAGAGTCCGCGATATGCTCAGCACGTGCTGCACACAATATCCAAGGTGATGCACGCCGTAAAAGTTAATATTAAATTTAATATACATGAAGAGATATTATAATGCGTATGCACTCTAATTTTAGTATTATGGGAGTTATTGCTAGTATTCAATGTATTAAACTAGTTCATATAAATATCAAATTCCTATAAAACAACGTACTATCTGTATCTAAAAAATATTCCCTTAAAATTATTGTATCCTAATCTCAATAAATTTTTTTTTCAATGTTTTTTCCAATATGCAAAATTTTAATCAACAGCATTCAATTCATTAGAATCATCAAAAATAGTTTCAAATATACACAAAGATTATTCACAAATATTATTAGAATTTCATTTGTAACGAAAAAAACAATGAAAAAAAAATTATTCGATTCAAATAACAGATTACTTGACTATTGTCAAATACATATTTACTTGAATCAAATAAATATTTGCTTGAATCGAATATATATTTACTTGAATCAAATA